GAGGAGAGGAAGTCGGGAGGAGATCAGCGTTGGTGAAGGTTATGGGTTCTCCCTCAGCCGCTTCACGGGGGGCATATGAGTGACTTCCCCCACGTATAGCGATTGAGCCCACTTCTTTCTTTGGCTCGTGGAGTCCCCTTGTGTTACCTCCAGCGATCATTTGGATGTGGCGCTTCTTCTCCTGGTACTGTCTGTACTCCTCCTCCTCATCGAGGTTTCCAATCTCCCTTTTCTTACCCTTCGGGTCGCTGAGGGGGATGGTGTTTGGGTTGACCCAAGCGTTTGCTTTCCTAGGGGGCCCTTGGTAGTGAGGGGTCCCCTGAGGAGTAGGGTCCCTGATGAATTGGGACAGGTGGCCTGCCTGTATCAGCCTCTCAATGGCCATCTTCAGCTGATGGCAATCGTCGGTGTTGTGCCCTTGGTTGCGATGGTACCGACAATAAGGATAATTGGAGTTAATGGCATACACCTCTAGGGGTGCGCGAGAGTCACGCTCCACTAGGCCCCTCTCCTCGGCGAAGTCCAGAATGACACTGACGGGGTGTGTCAAGGGCGTCCGAGGGTGCTCCAAGAGAATGGACTGGGCCCAAGCCTTCGGGTTTCCCTTGTAACCTCCCCCGTGTTTGGCTTGGCCATGCCGAGGGCGATCACCAGGGGGTGCCGAACCTTTGGATTGATTTGGGGGAGCCCCTGGCCCCCGGTTGCCTTTGTCATCTGGCCGAGGGCGTTGCTGATCAGGGTTGTGATGGCATTTTTCCACCTCCTCGACCTTGGCGTACCGGTCCCCCGCTGTAGGGCCCTTATATAATCGTGGGGAGTTTCGATGATGGGGCTCCTTGAAAAGTTCCCGGGGCGGAGGACTGTTTGGAGTAGAGCAAGGAGGGTCCCATCGTCGGCGCCGTCAACTTTATCAGCCTCCGTTCTCCAGCGTTCCAAGAAGTCCCGAAGGGTCTCCTCTTTCCTTTGCCTCACCGTCAGCAAGTGGGAGAAGTGTTTTCTTGAGCGGCGCCTCCCTGCAAACTGCGTCAAGAAGCGTTGGGCGAGTTCTTGCCATGAATCGATGCGGCCTTTGGGCAATCGGTTGAACCATTCGTACGCTGGTCCCTCTAAGGTGGAGAGGAACCAACGGCACAAATATTCGTCCGATGCCCCCACCATCATCATACTGTTCTGATATCGACTGTAATGCTCCTGGGGGTCTGTCTTTCCTTCACAGGGTCCGATGGGTTGCCCCCGGTATTTTTCCGGAATTCGGACCGCCAATACTCTTGGGGTAAATGGCGTCCTAGTCCGGAGTTGGATGACGGGTTCCCCGGAGCCTTCGACTATTTTGTTTTGCATTTCCTCCATTTTGGCCAGCATGGCCTCATATTTTGGATCTGCATGAAGGGCGGCGGCGGCGATATGTGCTCGATGGGCATCCATTTCATCAAGCCGGTGTTGGAGGACCGCAATAATCTCGTCCCGGTGATCCTTCGGGAGGGCCTCTGCCCCCTGCGAACGAACACGGGCCGAGTGCGCCTGGTTGATCTGGTGCCTGGCGTCGTCGGCTTGGAGTGGTGCCTTGCCTTTGTTTTGAAGGGGACGCCTTTCGTCTGCCCTCGAGACGGAACCCTCGCTTTCCTGAGGTCTTTGGAGCGCCTTTCCTTCGAGGTGGTCTTGGACCACTCGGCGGTCTTGTGCCCCTCCGAGTCTCTCGAGGGCGGAGGTCTGAGGCCTCTCTTTATTTGCCTCGTGTTGGTCCCGGGATTGGACCTCCTGGGACGCGGTGTCTTGGGCCATGACCCCCTCGTTGTTTCCAAGCCGAAGGATAGGGTTCACGAAGATAGGCGGAGGAGGGGAGGAATGGCGTTCTCCCCGACCTGTGGCTGAAGGGGTACCAGTGTGTCGAAGGCACCTGGGTTCTGAGTGAGAGTTTGGATGAAGGTAGAGAATGCCGACTGTACGTCGATAGTGAGAACCGGAGGGCTCACTTGATTTTCGCACCGGTCCCTCCTTCGGGTTTCGATGCCAAGGCGGGCATCGAGAGCGTTTTGCTGGAGTTGAAGGCGCAGGTCAACAACATCCTGTTCCAACTCAGTGATGACCTCGCCCTCGGGAGCATTGTTAGAGGCTCCAGGGGCGTTGACTTCACCGAGGGCCAGGTTCTTGTCCTCAAGGTTCTTGGACTGAGCACGGGTGGTTCTTCCCATTTTTGGTAGGTGTTTTTAGCTGAAGGGGAGGGTTTCTTACTTGATTGTTCGAGCTCTCAACGAGAGCACCAAATGATGGATAAGTGTACCCGGGGGTAGCTTATCTGAGGGGTTATTGCGGATAACAACTAGAGAGAAGTCAGAGCAAATGAGTAAGAGAGAGAATGAGTATTCAATATGAATTCAACGTGGTTTACAAATGGGGAAAGGGGTGATATTTATAGCAACAATAAATGCTAGATAGGGACACGTGTCAACAATCTGGTGGTCAATGGGTCACTTCAACTGGGGCGGCACTGGCACTCGCATGTGGCCGCATTAAATGCGGTGGTTGGACGCGACGTCTGTACTTGGTACGGTGATCCAGCGCATGTGATGGGAAGATCCTGTCGAGGAGGATGCCTTCGGCTGTAGATGACAGTCCGAAGGCTCTGCGTACCGAGGGCTCAGAGTGCCGAGGGCTCTAACTGCCGAAGGCTACTGTTTTCACCGTTTTCTCCCAGACACTTCGAGTGCTTAAAAGCAACTGTACTGTAAATTTATAAGCCTTCGGCTATGGGGCCGAAGGCACCCTAGTGTACGTCGTGGGCTGCTTGGCACTTGGGGCGCTGCAATTTGGGCATGTTGTGCTTCTTGGGCTTATTGGGCCTTTGTTATAGTAATAAGAGTATGTGGGTCGGGGGTCCTCGGGGCCATATACTCCATCAGTCACTTTCTTTGTATCTGTGAACGCATCAGCCAACTGATTTGCAACATTTTGTAAATGGGTTATCTTTTGAATTTTTTGCTCACATATATTTGTTCTTGAGTCAAGATGTGATAATCATGTTGCATTCCATGTTATCTCTTTCGTACTTGGGTCTAATTTATTATTTTCTCCCCCTAAGGCTGGGAATACTGTCTCATTGAAATGACAGTCTTCAAACCGTGTTGTGAATAAGTCACCAGTCATCGGTTCGAGATATTTTATTATTGAGGGAGATTCAAAACCAACATAAATTCCCAACCTTCTTTGAGGACCCATTTTTGTACGATGAGGTGGAGCAATCGGAACATAAACAACACAACCAAATATCTTAATGTGTGCTAAATTTGGCTCTTGTCTAGTAACTAATTGCATTGGGGAATATTCATGATATGCAGTTGGTCTAAGCCAAACTAAATTTGCTGCATGTAAAATAGCATGTCCCCAAGCTAATGAAGGTAAATTACACTTCATTAATAATGGTCTGGCGATTAATTGTAATCGTTTAATCAAAGATTCAGCAAGACCATTTTGTGTATGGACATGAGCAACAAGGTGCTTCACATCAATCCCAATCGACATACAATAGTCGTTAAATGATTGGGATGTAAATTCTCCTGCATTATCAAGTCGGATTCTTTTTATAGAATGATCCGGAAAATGAGCTCTTAATCGTATGATTTGAGCAAGGAGTTTAGCAAATAATAGATTTATAGTGGATAATATACTGACATGTGACCAACGTGTTGAAGCATCAATTAACACCATAAAATACCGAAATGGTCCACATGGTGGGGCTATCAGCCCACAAATATCTCCTTGAATCCTCTCTAAAAATGCAGGTGATTCAGTTGCAATTTTGTTTATAGAAGGCCTGATAATTATTTTTCCAAGAGAACAGGCCTTACAAGGAAAATCACTTGATAATGGAACCCTGATATTCTTTAATGGGTCTCCAAGTGAATTCTTAATGATTTTATGGATCATTACCTGGCCTGGGTGACCTAAATGGTCATGCCATAACATGAATATTTTCTGATCATCTAACTTTGTGTTAGAAACCAAATTTATTTCGAATGGGCTTATATATGTGAAATATAGTCCTGAGGAATATGCTGGCATTTTTTCACAAATATATTTAGTGCCAGATTTAGTTGTCGTAAGACAAATATATTCCTTTTGGTTTTCATTCATGGTTTCTACGTGATAACCATTTTGACGCATATCTTTGAAACATAATAAATTTCTCCTCAATTTGCTGGAGTATAAAGCGTCACTTATAATTATTTTTGTCCCGTTAGGGAGCATCACATATGCTTTCCCAGAGCCTTAAATGAGCTTCACAACACCTGATATTGTATTGACTTTAGCTTCAACTAAATTCATTTGAGAAAAATATATTTTATTTCTCAAAATGGTGTGCGTTGTGGCGCTATCTATCAGACGTAGCTCTTTATCATTTGAGTGATCCATATCTTCAATATATATAAATAAACATAAGTTTGATCACAAATTATGCATATTATTTAACATAAGAGTGCATACATTACACATATTTATTTAAAAACAAAATAAAAGGGAAAGAAAGAAAAAGTACACAAAACTATTATTATACAACATAAGAGTCTACTATTTTGTTTTGCAACATTTTGGTTTATGGCAAAAGCATCATCCATAATATCATCATCTGTGAAAAAGTCGGACACGTCAAATTTTGGCAGAGGTGGAGTTGTGTCATTGACATAATTAGCTTCCATATTTTTGTCTTTGTTCAAATTCATGGAAGCTTGAAATAACTCCACCAGATGTTTAGCCGTACGAGATATTACGATCCATATTACGGTCCAGTGAAGGGAATACTTGCATCTTACAAGTAAAGCAACCAATCCTAGAGTTTGACATATTTTATGTATAATATGATGCATTCAAGAAGCGGTTTCTAGAAGGTTGTAGAAGACTGATTGGGGTTGATTGAGCTTTTATGAAGTCCGATGTGAAGGGTGAGATTTTAATTGTTTTGGACAGAGATGACAACAATCATATGTTTCCCATTGCATGACCAGTGGTGGATTCCGAGACAAAGGCTACTTGGAAGTGGATTTTGACGATTATACGAGATGACCTAGGCATTGGTAGAGGCAAAGAATGGGCATTCGTTTCTGATCAAGAGGAGGTGATTAACTTATAGTTTAAATAGTTTGTAATCATTCATAACCACGCCTTTCTAATCAATAACTTGCTTTCTTGTTGTAGGGATTGATGTTTGCAAGACACATCTATGTAATATGAAGAAAAATTCATCCAAGCATTGAAAGGGAAATAGAGGTACTAAAATCTTTATCTCCTAGCAGACATGAAGATATGCTGAAAACAGACCCCAAATTATGGTGTTATACTTTTTTTGATAGGTCCATTAAATGCGATGCAATAGGTTGGTAATAATTTGTGTGGAGCTTTCAATAAAGTTATAGTCCATGTGAGGTGTCAGGTAGGGTACTCTTGACTTGAGTTTATTATGAAGTTGGTGATGAAGAAACCAATTAAGAATAAGGGTTTGACACATAAATGGATTAGAGTACTAGGTCCTATAATTAGAAGGAATGTAAGCAAAAATGAAAATACAAGCTACAATTGGAGAGTCCAATTTAATGAATCTAATGATTGTGAAGTGTCACGTGGATCATACATATATCTTGTAGACCTGGAAAATAAGAGTTGTTTATGCGATCAGAGGCATGTCTCTAGTATTCTTTGCAAGTATTTCATATGTGAAGTTGCATACGAAGGTCACTTAATAGAGGATTGTGTCTTCACACGATACAATAAAGACGCCTACCTCAAGGCTTATGTTCACACGATGACTCTCGTAGCAAGTCCATTTTTCTGGCCTAAAACTACCACCATAGTGCTTCCAGCAGAATTGAAAATAAACAAAGTCGGGAAAAAATAGAGTTAAAGAAATGGGTGAATTTCCAAGGAGCGGAAAGTTAACTAAGAAGGCACACACATGGCTTGTCAATTATGCTTTAGAAAAGGTCACAACAAAAGCAGTTGTCCGACAAAAGAGTTAACAGTACAAGGGAACATATCATTCCATTACAAAATCCCGAAATGAATGAAAAGGTCCTGCCACAAGTACACAACAAGTGGACACATAAAGAGACTGCCCATGTTACAAACTCGAAGACTGCCAAAGTGAGAAAGCTGAGAAAGTGTGGACATTGCTTTGGAATATGACACACACGAAAGACATGTCCATCGAAGAATAATGTAGATGAGGTAAATGTTTATAATAAGTTCTTGAGAAAAGGCAACCCACACAAATGGATGCTACTTTAGAACTAGAAATCAATGAGCAAAATAGAACATCAAGACCAATTCTACCAATTGTTTGATTCAACGGAAAATAATGGGCTAGACCTGTCCCAAGTCATCAATCCCATGCAATCAGAACTACATGTTCAAATACATGCATATATAATATTGAGAGATTTGGTTATAATGTGCATCAGTGGCTCAATGTTTGAGACATATACTTACAATCATTTAGTCTCAATATTTGAACTCACTTTAAACGGCAAAATATGTAGTAATAGTAAGGCAACCAAGGTGCTCAAGTACCATTTTATAATAGCTCATTGTGTGGTTTTTTAAATAGTCTCTATCACTGGCATAAGATTCCAACACAGACAAACTGTCGTAACACAATGATGGAATAACATGAGCTTAGGGAGCAAAGAATGATACAAAACAATAACAACATGGCAGTATGGCCCAAGGACACTTTTTGTTAATAGCTCATCTAAATGCAATATTTATAAAAGATTGCAAATATGAACGTCTACATGAATTTTGGTTAAGCGCCGGCTCTTCTGATATATTCTAGCACAATATATAAGTCTACCCTCGAAATCAATGAAGTGAGGGGTATTTATAAAAAGGGAGCTAACTTAGGATCAGTGGTTATCATACAACTTAGATGTCATTCTTTCTCAAAGACAAAGCGTGACCATCACTTGTGTCAACTTGTGGTTGAGTTTATAGCATCTATTCATACAAATATAAATTGACATGTTTTATTTGTCAATATTTAAGTGGTGTAGTCACACTTTTGGGTTAGAGTCAAACATGACTCATGGCCACTACCCATTTTACAAAAAAATGTCTTTGACATTTTTTGACCAGTACTCGAGCGCGCACGTGTAATGGGATTAGTTAGCCTTTTAGTACACATTGAATGTTTTTTTGGATTTTGGGCATCGAGAATCATTCTTTTAAGTATTGAAGAATGTTAGATACTACTCGTATCATTTATAATATAAAACTCATAGTTTTTAAACTTCCTATTTTATTACTCTGTGCATCTCTATATAAATATCATGGCTATGAATTGCATGCATATTAAGGAAATAATTTTTCCCTTTGACTTTCTGAAATGCCCCGTTTACTAAAAGATACTCCCTCAATTTCTTTGGACTTTGCCAACTTTTCCTTTTTGGTTGTCCCAAAAAATTTAGTCACTTTCCTATTAAAACAACTAATTTGTGGTTCTGCACATTTCTGTCTCCTCTGCACAAATCTCAACCACACATTTTTTACTATTCTTATTTTTCACATACTTTTCACTTGGCAAAGTCTACCGGGACGGAGGTAGTACATTTTACACTATTTTGACACAATGTTGACATAGTTTGACACTATTTAACACTATTTTACCATGTGTTGTCATTATTATTTAAAAATATCAGAATAAATTGATATAAATTTATTTATCGAATAAAATATACTTTATTAAAAATATATTCAATTAGTTATTTTAGAGTTGTGTTAGGTGTACACATTTTGGTGTACACCTTTCATACACTCGTCTGTCTCTCACATACATAACTGTTTATCCACAGACAACTCTACAGAATTGTCTGTGGACAGACAACTCTGTGTGCGTGAGACAGACGAGCGTATGAAAGATGTAAACCAATTTTTTTCGTTATTTTAACTATCTCAAAAAGTAAGCGGTCTTTCTCTCGCGTGTCGAGAGCGGTGCACTACTGTAGTTCTACGGATCAAACCAGACTAGATTTCATCAATTGTAAAATATACATAGAACATACACGTACAGTACTTGTTAGCCACTATACATAGAACATACACGTATAGTGGCAAATTTTTTTGAGAGAAAGACGTGTGAAATATTGTGCTTTTCCTAGAGATTTGTCTGTTCGCTGGAATAGTACTTATAAATTAATTAAAGTACTTGTTAGATATAAAGATCATTTTCCTACTTTTTTAAAAAAATATGCTAACTATATTATAAACCCGGTTGACATCGACACTTGCGGAAAAATTGTGAATGTTTTGATATTTTTTAATAATGCAACTGATACTTTTAGTCATTTCATACACCTACCTCAAACCAATTTTTTTGTGGATCTGTTAATCTCGCCGGTGCTTTTTGTGAATTTTCCGAAGCCCCTTACGTGAGTTATTTTTGTGAGTACATGAAAGAATTTTTTTAAAAAATATTATTCATATATTCCACATATTTATAGTATTGCATTTATTCTTGATCCTCGTTATAAACTTAATGCTTTGCAACAATGTTCAGATTACTATTATGCTTCGTTTTTTGGTCCACTTCCTATGTACGATGATAGGCCATAGACCCTAAACAAGAATATCAAGAAGTTAGTAATTTATTATTTCAATTATTTAATGAGTTTCATGCACAATATGGTAACGTGCCCCCTTCACCCGACACGAACATCTTCATCTAAAGGAAAATCATTTTTTAAATCAACATTTGGCAATTTTATGAAAAAAAGTAAATCAACTCCCATTGTTGAACAAAGCTCAGTTAACGAGCTTTCTTTGTATCTAACATTTCCTGTTGATTTTGAAGAAGATGATGACTTTGACGTTCTAAAGTGGTGAATGATAAAGAAAGAACGTTCCCGATTTTATCAAAGATGACTAAGCAAGTGTTATCAATGCTGGTTTCAACAGTTACCGTGGAACAAGAATTCAGTGCGGTCTGCAACGTTCTAACGAATTATAGAACGAGATTGAGCGCAAACTCTCTTGAGACACTTGTTTGCTACCATGATTTGTTGAAGGCCCAACCTAGAACTCAAGAACTTAGCATCACCCCCACCCAACACTTTATGGAGGAAACAACAACCGACTGTGGCGGAGATTCCGATTGATTATTTGATTATTCTTTATCACTTTACGCTTCATGTTTTAATTTTTTACCTAATTCTCAATTGTAGACTTGTAGTTCATATATCAAATAATATGCGTTCAGTTTTTTGTATGTAGCATTCTTAATTTAATTTGTTAAACTTTTAAAAAGAAAAAAAGACCCGACCTGACCGGCCCGGCCCGCTACCCGGGCGGGTAGCCCGGCCCGAATCGGTATCACCGATGATCCAGGCCGGTCCCGAGCTCCCTTCCCAAAACCAAAAGCCCGGCCGGGCCCAGCCCGGAACCAGAACCGAACCGGGCCCGGTCCATCACGTGACGTACTAGATAAAATCAAACTAGTTCAAACCACATGGGATCAAATTACACTTGCACAATTAATTACTTAACCAATTAATTTTATAAAGGCTCGCGATCAGACACATTGAACATTCACCCCTTTCTTTTGTCTTCTGTACGGTTATAGCGGCACATGTTCTGAACTTCCTAAGCAGTTTGGGAAGGAAGATCTGCAAATTTAAGAAAGATAATTGAAACTAGACAAGAAGGAAAGGAAATCGGAAATCGGAGAGATTCCCTGAACTTCTCTCTCTCTAGTGCCGCACACTGTTGTGTTCCATTCTACAGCGCCATTGTATGCCTTAAAAGTTAAAACTGAAACAGCTGATCTGATACATTCCTCTTTCCCACAGCAATTTGAAGATTTCAGGTGGATTTTCTTTCAAGGCATGTAATATACGCTTATTGGTTTTCTGTCTGGAACGGCACCGTATTCTTTCGTTTCCCTTTTCTTGTTATCTATTTATTCATTTTGTGAAGAAATAAACTGCAATGGCTAACGTATCTATTGTTGATCGATCATATAGTTTATAATATGGACTTACGAAGAACTTGAGTTGCGTTTCTTCTAATTGAGAAGCTGGAATCTCAGAGTAAATTTATGTCGATCTCTCATGATTTCTTCCTGATTTCTATTTATGCAGCTTGTTCGCTGGATCACTTTTTTGAATTTCCATAAGAAGAAGGCTGACTCTGTTTAGGATCGTTAGAAATCACCACATTTGAAAACATTTGCGAGTCAAATTGGATGATTTTTTCGGCAATTTGACTTATTGCGGGGATACTTCCGCGTAGTTTAGATAAACGGGTAGATGCCAATAGTTGGATCATGAAGCCATCGAATATTAATAGGGCTACTTCAGTTCCAGCTCAAGGATCTTCCCCAATGAACTATCCAAAGACACTGTTATCAATTGTGTCTTCTGTTGGAGGCCTTGCCATGTTCTTACTGCTTGCTTCCTCATTTCTTGCTTCTCGACCTAATGAGCCTTCTGTTCGTAAGCATTTCTATAGAGTGGATAGTTCAAAAGAGTCTATTTTAGTGCCTGGGAAAGATGGGATAGATACAGACACCAAGCACAGTAGCCCTGATGTGGGGCCTGCAAGCGGTTTGAACATAAAAAACTCAGGTTCATCAGAATCACAAGACAAAGAATCTGGTGTTCAATCTGTGAATAGTAGTGTGATACAAGGAAACATAGACTCATATAATTCTAGTTCAGAGGAAGGGAAAAAGGATGAGATTCTTCCATCATCTAACCTCAATTTGGATTCAGGGACATCTTCATCACCTGCTATTAGAGTCGAGCGGCAGGCCAGTTCAGGTCTGTACGACCTTATTTACCAATTTGTTTAAGCTCAGTTTGGTTTCCAAAAGTAGCCTATTATGCTCATTAGCAGAATAAGTAGCTTTTAACTTAATTATTTGGCTGACGTGGATTAATCTGACCAAACACTTCTCGTTGCAGAAAATTCAGCATATTCAGCCACTGCAGCCAAATAACATTGCCAAATGGGTTCTTAATTGTAGCCTTTTATTATGCTTGGTTTGTTGGTCATGTTCCATGATGTGCATCTTAGTTGTACTTTAATTGTAGCCTTTTAGCAGTCACACAATCATCTATATTCAACTCTCTTCGTTACATTCTGATTGATTTCCATGCAAGTGGAAAAGAGCTATGGTGATTAACTATTTTGTAATTTCATCTCATGAAGGGCATCCTGCTCAAAACTTTGCCACCATGTTTTTTTTGCATTATTTTATAGGGTCAGGTAACTTTTGAAAACTACTTATCACTAAATATCATGCAACCAATTCTATGCTCCACAGTTATTCATATTCTTGATGATATACTTTAATGAACGAGCAAAACCAATTAAGTTGGTGGAGTGAACCCTTTCTTCTCAAGCTTTATTATGCACAAAGAAGACTTCTTGTTGCATGTTGATCCTGAATTTAAGCTAAAATATCTGTTTCTAGTTCTGAAGGCGTCATTTTAGCCTCCATAGCTTGGTTTTAGACTTTTAGGTTCATTTGAACATTGCTTTATTTTTGGAATTATTTCAGAATGTGATCTATACCATGGGAAATGGATCTTTGATTCAACTGGACCATTGTACACAAACAACTCGTGCCCCGTCATAACACAGATGCAGAATTGCCAGGGAAATGGAAGGCCAGATAAAGATTATGAGAACTGGCGTTGGAAACCTGATCAATGCGACCTTCCTCGGTTCAGTCCTAAAGAATTTTTGGAATTAATGAGAGGGAAGACTTTAGCTTTCATTGGTGATTCGGTTGCCCGCAATCAGATGGAGTCATTACTGTGCATACTTTGGCAGGTTAAGCTTTGTATTAAGTGGTTTTGTGCTTTTCATTTAATGGGTCAGCACAGGGTTGATCGAGTGGTATATGGACACGCACATGATTGGCTATTCTCTTTAATAACTTTCATGTTTCTTTCTTTCTTTCAGACACCCTAGCGGGTTTAGCTGCAACATCTGAAACAGGGTTGGCTGTCTGTTCAGTTCGGTTGGTTCCATTTTGAAAATGCAAAACTAAAAACCAAATCGAATAACTTATACTCCGTACTACGTATCAGTTTTGCTGGGTTTAGGTTTGGTCATTTTTTTGTCAGTTTTGTTAAGTTCTTTCCATTTTAGAGACTAAACCTTAAAAAACAAACCAAAACACCAAAGGTTAACTCAATTTTGATTGTTTTGGTTTTGTTGGCTTTTTTGTTTACTCCTGCTATGAACTACAGAGTATATTTAGAGCCCTCTTTCGTAAGTCCTAAAATGACAAATGGGATTGAATCTGCTGAAATTAGTTTGGTGAAATGGCTGAAATCGGCTAAAATATCTAAAACTCATTTCAGATCTACTACATTGTTAAATATCTAAACTTCATTTCAGATCTACTACATTGTTAAATAAATTAGTAAAAAATATTTCTAAAAATCAAGTTTGGAGAGTGTCATTTTGATCAGTTTTAACCATCTCAGCCAAGATGTTTGTAACCTCTGCACTATTTTTTTAAATTATCAGTAGAGCCGATTCAGCCTTCTATCAAAATTAATTTGTGTTTGCTGAAAATTTGATATAAGTTTGATAAGCCACAAAACTGCACACCAAACAGGCACTCGTGACGGTAAATAGTAAAATCTTTCATATATTTTTTCTTTGTTTTAACTATGTTCCTTGAATATTGTTGATTTGCCTTTGTTATATCGATGTTTTTCTTTAATTCTTTTCTTAGTTATTGTTCGTTCGTATGAATGATCAGCAAAGTTACCAGTTACCAGAACATACAGTTACTAGGAAACTAAAATTGTTTGATATGTGGACTCAAAAAAAATTGTGTTGAAATGCTATTGAAATCATTAACGCGCCTCTAAATTTTGCAGTTCAAATAGCATTTGAAAAACCTCCATTATACTTTTGGATAACAATATGTTTTATGACCCCCCCATGTTTGCAGTTTGAAGCTCCAAAGAACCGCGGGAACAAAAGAATGCAACGCTATTATTTCAGATCAACATCCACCATGATAGTCCGGATCTGGTCATCGTGGCTGGTCAACCAGACATCTGAGCCGTTTGATTTTGCTCCAGCGGGTGTGGCGAAACTCCACCTCGACGTTCCAGATGATGTCTTCATGGAATTTGTTCCCCAATTTGATGTGGTCGTCCTTTCCTCTGGACACTGGTTTGCAAAGCAATCAGTTTACATCCTGAACAACGAGATCGTCGGCGGACAGCTCTGGTGGCCAGACAAATCAAAACCAATGAAAGTCAACAATATCGACGCTTTCGGAATATCTGTAGAGACAATTCTAACTGCCATGGTCAAACACTCAAAGTTCAGTGGTCTAACCATCGTCCGGTCCTTCTCACCTGATCATTATGAGGGCGGGACATGGAACACTGGAGGATCATGTACCGGAAAGGTTGCTCCGGCAGTTGACAGCGAGTTGGCTGAAAATGGGTTTACTAATGTGATGCATGAGAAACAGTTGGCCGGGTTTTCACGTGCCGTTAGAAAGAGAACTAACAAGTCAGCGTTGAAATTCATGGATATTACGAAAGTGTTTGGGTATCGTCATGATGGACATCCTGGGCCATATCGAAGCCCAGACCCAAATAAAATCACAAAAAGAGGGCCCGATGGCCGCCCTCCACCGCAGGATTGTTTGCACTGGTGCATGCCTGGCCCGGTTGACACGTGGAATGAGATGGTGTTTGAACTCATAAGGAGAGAATTTAAAGAAAGACAGGGTAGTACATGATAAAATCACATTGAATGGGTTTTGTAGGATACAACCATTGTCCAACTACAGATATGTTTGTTTTTCACACTTGGTCATGAAATAAGATCATATCATTCTTTAGTTGTAAATTTGTGCATAGCCATAAATCATAAGGATTTGTTTAAGAGAACTGGATTTCGGAAAAAACTACTCCTGTTGTCAAACATAAACTATATGCGGTCCACGCGGAGTACCATATTACTCTAACCATCTCCTATTCTCCTGTTTTAATGTACTGTTATTGAGTCTATGTATTTTGTCAATTGATCACGCGAAGGACTTTTTTCAGACATTTAAAATCTAAATGCTATGAGTTTAAAAACTTAGAGAAGAGTTACATATCATAAAAATGATATGATGTGCTTAAAAACATTGTTTTATTGATTGTTTTCTATTATTTTTTGAAAATGGTTTTGTACTACTATATTTTATTAAAACCCCAATTAGGTAACTTTTTTTTTGCAACACCCCAATAAGGTAACTTGGAAATAAATTAATAAACAACTGAATATCGCTAATGGCCTTGGATAAGATGTATTTCAGTCATTAGGATGAATGAATGAAGTGATAATGCCAAAGATCTGCATTCTTCAAAGTTGGACCAATTGTATTGTACTATATAATAAAAGCAAAGCATGCCGAATCATGTACTTTATCTTTAAGTACTGCTACAATTTTTTAACGAGAACCCGAATAATCAAAGATGAAATGATAATTTCGCATGACCTTTTTTGGAAAATGTGATATGAACAATATTTTGTTCCGTTTTAATATACTATTATATTTCTGATTTTTTTGTTATGCCGACTATATTAAGTCTATAAGATTTAATTTTATATGTTTGGTCGGAACTAAATATTAAAATCTGTAAGATATGGAATGAGTTTTCCTAATTTAGTCACTCTCATTAAGAAAGTATATATTATATGCTTGAAATTTATTTAAATATAAAAGTATTAACTATTACATCTGCCCAATTGGACATTGTCGAAGTTGGGTTACATATGAAATAAGAAAAATACATTCGTGTGATTGAGAGTTTTGCAAATGAGAGAAAATTAAAATAAACCACAAATTATTTACATTAAATGAAAAAGTGAAAATTTGTTTAAGGGACTACAAATAAAAAGAAGAAAAAATAACAAAAATGAAAACATACATATCACCTAAATCATTTTAGTTGTTAAACAGTTAAACCTTTTGAAAGATTCATAAACACTACAGACTTATCGATCATGATTTGAAGACTATAGTTGTTGGATTTACTCAAGGTTAACTTGAGATGTTTCTAATTTCCTTTTTGATACATAAGGTTACCCGAATCATTCAATTCATTGTAATCTAATCCTACTTAAATCAACCAAAGTTGACTTACCCAATAGGTTAATCCCTCATTCAGAACCAGGTCAGTTTAATTTGGGAAATTGTACCTGTATTAGACCAAAAGTTTACTAATCGTTGAAGTTATGCAACATGTAGTATATTATTAAGGGGGAAAATGGTCTATAGAATAATCATGTATTTATGCAGGGGTATAAAGTATAAACAATAATGGCACTTTCCGTAAATTTATAAAATCAAAGTATTAAAATGGTCAATTTAAAATTGTCCTAAAAAGACAAAGAAAAGGCCTGTGGTAGGAAAATAATCAACTAACTCCAACGTTTACTTTACAGCTTTGTTTTTTACTATTAATAATTAATACAGTATGGAATTTTAAATTTTGAAAGGAATTTTCTTCCCACAAATATCTCATTTTAATAATGAAATCATTTAACTTTTTCCTTTTAAAAAAATCCATTTTATTAAATGCGCAATGCGGACTTCAAACCATGTGCTTAACCAAAATTTATGCTTTCAATATTGCAATTAAATATTAGCTACTCCCAATAGTTACTATATTTGTTTTTTCAACTTTATTTAAATTTTATAATTTATAATTTATTTTTATTTGATTTTCCAGCTTTATTTCCACCAACTTTTCAAGCAAAACCCTAATTTCAGACCTCATCATATTCTACTACAACATCAAAAAATTGTGACTTTCACCCAGTAAATTGGAGGAAAAAAATAAAGCTGTTCAACAAAGATAATTATTTGCAGCTTTTACCCTGTACTGCCATGGCAGGGGTTAAGCTTGCAATTGCTAGTTGATCTTCGAAGCGCGCAAATTATTGTCTGTTTTGTAGATTTACGGCGCTTCTTCTGTAGTGGATTGTTTACTGTAAGCTTTCCTAGGTTCTAATTATTTTGTTTTGTTTTATTTCTGTTGCTCAAGCTTTTTGATCTCGAAGATTAGGGCTTTAATCTCAGATAGTTATCAGGGTTTAAGAGTTATCTGGGGGTTTGATTAGTGCATATTTATGGAGGAGAAAGGGGTAAATAGTTCAGGTGCCACAGTGAAAAGCGACGATGGAGCTCCTGAGAGCCTTCAGGTGGTGGGTCCGAGGATCGATAACCATAGCCAGTTGATGAGTGGATCGGCGGCGGCAGAGACACCGGCAACTCCACCCAGCAGTGCGGCGGCGGCGCCACCTTCAGCAGAGGCGACGAAGAAGAAGAGGGGGAGACCCAGGAAGGACGCCACACTAGCCATGGCCTTGTCTCCTATGCCGATTTCGGCATCAATTCCTCTTTCTGGAGATTATTCGGCTTGGAAACAGAGTAAAAACAGGCCAACTGAATCCTCCAAGAAGAAGCATAAGTTGGACTATGAAAATCCAGGCAAGAACCCCCCCCCCCCCCCCCCCCCCCCAAACCCCGCTCCCACACACACCACCACTAGATCTACCTTTCCACTCACTTTGATTCCAGGAAAATAATTTGATGGGTATTTTTCTCGCGGACATGTTTTGTTTGAAAGTTGGTTTCCTGCAAAAAGTTCATATTTTTATACTCTGTATCATATTGATGTTTAAAGATGAAGCCTTTTTTAAGCAGGCAGTCCTTTTCCACAAAAATTCAAAGAGTCGTGGAAAAACCTCCAGGGAAATATTTTGTGATGTCAATTACAGGAAGATGTATTTTGTAGAATGTTTTCTGGTGCCAGAATCCAGAAAAGTTTCCTAGTAAACAAACGGAGCCTAAATTATTATGTATCAGTGCTCTATAGGGCTTATGCACGTTGGATGGGACCACAAAACAACAAAGATTCTCTTCGGTCTTGGTTCGTGGTATTAGTGTTGTCGAAGAATTTATATGCACCTATAGACTTGAATTATAAATGTGTGTGTGTTTGGGAGTAAGGGAGTGGGGGTGCGAGGGATGTCACTATGTCAGCTCCATAACAAAATAGAGTTTAATAGTCATTATTTTTGTAGGTCATCTTGGTTCCTAATAAGATAAGGTGTCTTGTTAACTGATGCCAAAACAGAAACAATCTGTCTTTTCCTATTAATTCTTCTTCATAGAGATCAAGAAGTGAGTAATGGAACTCTATGAATGGTAATACTACGTATTAGACAGATGATGTGACCTGATGTAGTGATGTGTGTGGGGGTCTGACACAAAGGAATATGCTTCTTGTAGCATTCACTAGAATGTTTCTGGTTTAGAGAATATTTTGTCTGCAGCGGGTGAAATAAATAATTTTGATCTCAGTCATGTTTTTCCCACCTTATTTTCTAGAGCAGATAACTTCCAACTTTGGGATCAGGATCGTCTGGAGTAACTATATGTGGAGTTATAACAGGGACAATCCAGATTGATTTGGAGTAACTTCTAATATCCCAAATAAATCTGGACTGTCTATGTAGTAACTCCGTTATGGAAACAGATTTGGTTTGACACTTCGATAGCACACTCTATAAACTTTACATAAAAATTAAAAATAATACTAACATAATTCCAATCTGAATGGTTCAATGAGATTTATGCATTTGCACTTTCGCCTTCAGTCTTTACCAATTTGTTATGCATTTTAGGATTATAAGTAAATGGATAAATAAACAGATTGGCCTTTTTCTTTCAGCAGTTTCGTAATGGCACTAGTGTTTTTGCTACACATTTATTTAACATATGCATATATGTGTCTGTTTAGGGGAGCGGATGGCATACTCTGTTGGTGAAAATTTTACTCCGCATGTAATCACCATTAGTGCTGGCGAGGTAAAGCCTCTTTTATCCTGCATCTTACATTTACATGCTTTAAATGATGTGTTGTGTTTGGCATCTTCAAAACCATATCGTATGTTAAGTAAAGTCTATATAGATTTATAGGTTTTTGTTCGGAATATGACATTTTTTTGCGGTCTTGCTAGTCAAAGCTCTAGTATACTCCCCTTTAGTTAGTTAGTTTATATGATGATTATTATTTAACGCTATGTTTGTTTTATGAGGGATGAGCTTTGATGATTTGAATTGTGAAATGTGCAATGCCCTTGAAAACTTTCAGCATGCTACATTGATCTTTACCAAGAATTTTATTCTTGATAATCCCTAACACGGAAAAAGATTTTTATAATATTTGGCTTATGCCAGCTAATTCTTTTTTGTTTTTATAATAATTAAAACACCATAATCTTATTAAAAATTATCGATGTCAACTGTCAACCATGTAAAAAGGATAGTATAGTATACTTACCTATAACTGATATGAGGAATACAAATGTGTGGGGTGCAGGATGTGACAATGAAAATAATATCGTTTGCACAACAAGGATGTAGGGCTATTTGTGTGTTAGCTGCAAATGGTGCAATTTCTAATGTTACTCTTCGCCACCCTAATTCTTCTGGTGGCACTTTAACCTATGAGGTGAAATTCGTCCTCTCACTCTCTTTTACATAGTTATTAAGTAGATTCATTGTATCTCTATGTAGACAGACCCCTTTACTGATTAATCTTGCTCCCTTGGGCAGGGCCGGTTTGAGATTCTTTCGCTGACAGGATCATATACGCCCAGTGATAATGGGCTGACAAAAAGCAGGTCTGGTGGGATGAGTGTCTCTCTCTCAGGCCCGGATGGTCGAGTTATAGGTGGAGGACTTGCAGGAATGTTAGTTGCAGCTGGTCCCATCCAGGTTTGGCCCCTTAATCCACTGTTAAACAAATATAGATGGAATAAATGCCCGCTTTTAAACAAATGTACATGGATTTAATGCAAAACTAGCACAATAACTCGGGGGTGAGTATCATTTTCAATCGCATAGTTTTGCACTGTGGTGATTTTTGTGAGATATCTTTAGAAGAGCTCGATCAACTTGGTATCATTTATGGAGAAATTTTACTGCAAACTGTCACATAATGTCGCCCCACAAAAAAAATGTGGCACTAAAAAGGATGCCCTCCTTGATTTATAGGCCTTGTTTTGCATTTCCTGCATTGTTCACATGACTAGCACATGATGGTTTATTGTGGAAAGTAAAAATTCTGGCGTTTAGTCTTCCAAATTGTTTGATTTTTTATGATTTCATTTTCATTTTCATTTACCCCAGTGCCGCAAAGGCTCCCACCTACGAGTTCGTTTTTTATGATATGCGACTAAAATGTCACTCCCAATAGTTATGAGGCTTGAGTTTGCTTTTAACTCCAAATATCTTCAATAACCGATAAAATTGTAAAATGTGCTTAACTTATCGCAATTTGCTGTCACTTTTAATAGAACCTTTTTACTACTAATTTAAATTCTACCATGCCATAACAACAGGGGAGAATCTTGATAGATTGCAAAGAGCAGATCATATTTGCTTAGTTTCGTCAGCTTAGCTCCTCATGCTTATCAGTTTCTTCATTTCTATAAATTCACTAATATGACGATGGGTAATAGTAACAGAAAAATGTTTTATGGACAAAATTTGCACAGCTCGTTTACACTGACAATACTTTGTCCTAAACAATGGCAGAGATGGGGACTGGATGGGACGCCAGTTTATGTAATGTGTGTGTAAATAACTATGTAGTATAATCTATTAAAAATTGTGTTGATATATGAAGCTTCCACCCCCTTATAAAATTTTCAAGCTTCCGCTCCCATACTGTGTTTCTAGCTACGCCACTGTTTTGGTGTTTCTTATCCGCAAGTCTGACATGACCCGAGTCTATGGAGCAAAAAATCACACCAAGGGTATTGTACTAGTTGTGTACATGTAAAGATTAACTCATAGTAATATCTCAACATGTCATCATCAGGTGGTGGTTGGCAGCTTTCTTCCCGGCCATCATTTGGAGCAGCATCATAAACAAGCACCCCCCAAGAAACCACACAACAACTTTGAGCATCTTCATCAAACACCATCGCCATCACTTGCTTATGACCACACCACCCCTCAACATTTCTCATCCAACAACGGCTCCATCTTTCCCCAATGTGACAGAACTGACATGATGCAATGTGGTTCTTCAAGAACATCTGCCAATTAAAGATGGTAACAAATAATGTATCTTTCCCAGCTCCAACCAGCCACCCCCCTCCAAAGGTCGATAGATGTTTGGGAAATCTGAGGTTGGGTCACACGAGGCTCGTTTGGATGCTACTTATTTTCTGTAGGGCTTATTTATATATAGTGAGACGGAGAGAGCACGAGATAGCCCAGTAGGAAATTACTAATCTCAGGAAAGACAATTCTTCTGGCTATGGCCATTATTATTCTTCTGCTGCTCCTCCTGCTAATGTATAAACGTGTTCCTACCATGTGCTTTGTTTTGTATGATTCATGTTTCGTTAATTTGCAAGGAACTTCTCTTTTATCACCTATAAAAATGCGTTTTTAATCAAGTACTCTCTGTCACATTTTGAGGATCTTTTGTGCTGTTTGCTATGTTTAACCATATGGGTCCTAATTTTTTGGGGGGTAAAATATGGGTCCTGATAATTAAAATCTGTATATTCATGAATCATGATAGGAGGGTATATGGAATCGTAATAAAAAACTAAATCCCAAAATGATTAATTTAATTATATACCATTTGAAATTAAAAGAGTTCTAAAATTGGGACGGAGGGAAAATAAAAAAGAAATAATATCCGATCATGTCATGTTCATCCGGTATTGTAAGACTTGATTGGATTTTCACTCGCACAATACGCATAAGAAATAATTCAAAAGTTCATTCAATTTTCTTCCCTTTGGCTTTGATATCATGGATCGATTCCTATTAGAGATATTACCCGAAATAGGACTAAAACAGTTTGAAAATTTCAAAATAGGACTGTCATGTTTTTATTCCCAAAATATGATTAATTACTGTCATTTTTTGGCAATACCAGACTTCAAACATGCCAGTATTTCCTAAATATGGTAGTAATTAGTCCTATTTTGGGAATAAAAAACATGACAGTCCTATTTTGAAATTTTGAAACTGTTTGTCCTATTTCGGGAACTTTCCCTTCATTTTAACCTACCCAAATTTTTTTTGGGAATAATGTTTGGATGTTTTTGTATCACATTTATCAATTGTGGTTTGGGAAAGTTTTCGAAATAAGAGTAAACAAGTTTTGAAATTTCAAAATAAAACTACTATGGTTTTACTTTCCGAAATAGAAGTGACATAACATATTTACTGTCATCTTGAGATCATTACTCCCAGAAAAAAGGATGACACCTCATCCCCGAGGCTCCCAGAATCGACTAGACAGTTTATATGAGAGGATGTAAATTGATCTTTAATCATACACTGGTGAGAAGATAATGAGACTAGGGATGGACTCGGGTCCGGGCCGGGTCCGGGCCGGCGGGTCAGAAATGGTGGACCCGGGACCGGCCCGGGTAACCACCGGGTCCGGGCCGGGCCCATTATATTTTTTTTTTGTTTTCCTCTTCCTAATTAACCCCCTCCCACCCCCAACCCCCAAACCACCCCAAATGGCCCAAAATACCCAGCCCAACCCGAAAACTTAAAAAAAAATTGAAAAAAAAGAAAAAAAAATAGTTTTTGACCCGAACCGGGCCCGGGCCCGGCCGGGTCGGGCCTTGTTTTGGGTGACCCGAGCCCGGACCGGAAAACCCACGGGCCGGGCCTACCCGGACCGGTCACTGACCGGGCCACCGGATCGGGCCGGGCCGGAACAGTACCGGTCCCGGGCCGGTTCCGGGTCGGGCCACCCGGGCCACCCGGCCCGAGTCCATCCCTAAATGAGACTATTCCAAGTCTTTGCCTAGAGTTGAACTCGAGAAATCTCCCTTGTAGCACTTTGTTCTTACTAGGTGAGCTATGCCTAATGGGAGTCATTACTCCAATAGTTGCAGTTCTTGACATTAACATGACAATATTTGTTGTCATTAATGATATCATTTTTCAATCATGATAGTGACGACTCATATTAAAAAAAACATAGTAATCATTATTTTGAAATTTAAAAACACTTTTACTTCTATTTAAGATAATTTCTCTTGTGCTTTTATTAAAAATCTTTTTAATTATGAGTAGCAATTGAACGAGTTCCATACTAAGGATGTTTTTACTTGGACTGTAATTCGTCCCAGACCAGATCAGACCAGACCAGAACAGACCAGACCAGTTCAGACCAGACCTGACCAGACCAGACTTGGATAGTTATAAAAATACAAAGAAACCAGACCAGACCAGACCAGACTTGGATAGTTATAAAAATACAAAGAAACCAGACCAGACCAGACCAGTTCAGACCAGACCAAACCAGACCAGATCAGATCAGACCAGACCACCAAATTACAGTCCAAGTAAAAACATCCTAAATATAAACTGAAAAGTAGCGTATTGAGAACAATACCTTGTAGAGCATAAGTTGAAGCAGCCAAATGAACTTTCAGCAGTGAAGGAGTCACAAATTTTGAACAAACTCCGATCAAACTATTGGGTCATTAAACAAATCACGTGGAAAAACTATGTACATATATGAAAAAGTATTTATAGATAGATCCTTGTACTTTTATTATTTACGCGTTTCCCTCACGTTTTGTATCCTATATTTTTTAGAAATTACGTTTCTCGCGTTTTCCATTTCCCGTTTCACGTTTGACGTTTCGCGTTTCCGTGCTACCTAGGAGTAGGGGTGAGCATCGGGCGGGTTCGGGTCGGGCGGGTGGGTGAACCGAATACCCTTTCGGGTTTCGGATGTGTAATATGGATATCCTACCCTATGTTTTTTTACTTAGATATTTTCGGGTTTTATTGTATTTCGGGTAGGGCGGGTTCGGATCGGGTATCGGGTTTAGTCGGTTTCAAGTTTCAACTAAAATAATTTGAAATTGCAAAATAATTTGTAATTTCAACACCAGTAAATCTAAAATATTACAATTGCAAAACATAATTTGATTCCCATACGGCCATAAATAATGTGAATATTACAAAGTAAAGAGTAAGGGGGGATCAAAATTGTAACAAAGAGTTTTAGCATATTACAAAATACAGATTACTGAATTACACAGTTCATTAATCATTAACATACAAAGTTCCAACTAGTCAAGTACACAAAAATGCAAAAATGCTTGAAGACTTTGAAGTTCCACAACTATCTTCCACAGTTTGAAGTTTCCACCTGCATAAGAAAGTTAATGAACACATGGAAAGCAATAGACATGTAGTAGAGTAGTACAATATGTCAATAACAACTTAACAAGGATAAGTTAATGAAACAAATCAGAGAAATCATTGATTCACTGACTCAGAATGCTTGTTATCCTTCACAAGGAATATAGGGGCAACTGCTACAATTTCAGTTAAAACTTACATGTTATGAACTGAAAGAGCTATACCAACCTTAAACCATACATTCAGTAATGTGTGGAAGCTTCATCATAGCCAATGAAAATTAATAGAAATGATAGAGTAAAGGATTAATGGGATTATGAGATACTTACACAAAACCTGCAAATCAGAGCAAGGTACAAGGGTCCAGGGATAGTTGGCACTTGGCAGCATGTGCATGCTTTCCAGAATGACATAATCATGCTCATTCAAATGTAACAAGCGCATAATAGTGTAATACATTATACTCATATTGGCAGCAGGTCCAACACCAAATCATATAGCAATGTACTCATGTTTCATACACATTCAAATGGAAAAACAAGCATATAATGGCACAAATCAGACATTTCATAGAGCTCGGAATGCTTATTATCATTCACAAGGGAAATAAGGGGCATCTGTTATAGCCTACCATTTCAGTTACAACTTACAAGTTACCATTCATGAACTAAAAGAGCAATATCAACCCTAAACCCTATATGCAGTACCAGTAATGAGTGGAAGCTTCATCACAGCCAATGCCAAATCATAGAGTCATGTATTCATGTTCATACACATTCAAATGAAAAAACAAGCACATAATGAAACAAACCAGGCATTTCATAGAGCTCATAATGAAACCCTACCACTTGTACTGAAAGTGGACTCAGAAGCAACTGTGGAAATGGGAACACCAAGTACATCCCTAGCCATCTTAGAAAGTATAGGCAAGTACGCAACACATGAATAAGAGTTGTACATATGCAGTCAGTAAGAGCTTCCACAGAGTTCATATCTCACAAATAATAACCATAATATGTAAGTCTGGAACAATCAGCAAGCTGATTTACAGAAGGATAAAAGCACTTTGCTTTTTCACTTCTCTACAGACTCTGAAGAACCCAGTTCACTCTTTGTACTCGTTTGAGTACTAGAGTACAAAAATGGTTGTTCAAATTAATCAGAAGGCAATTATGTAAGCAACTAAGCAACACATGATATATTGATAGGTGTATATTAAACTTCCACATAGTTTATGTACATGACAACCTGTATAGGTGTATAGGTGCATATAAATACATCACTGCCACATCTCCACACTAGCCAGTACTCAGTAGGCAAGTAGGCAACACATGAATAAGAGCTGTACATAAGGAGTCGGTAAGAGCTTCCACACTTCATTATATAATATATAGCTTCCACACTTCATTCATATTTTTAATAAACAGATTTGAAATTCTGAATGCATTATAAGAGTTGTACATATGCAGTCAGTAAGACAGTAACTCAATCAGGACATCAGGTGTGTATATATACTAATATAGATCAACAATTAACAGGGACAACTGGACAAGCAAACATTCGAACAGATCTGTACATGACTGAACTCAGAAATCAAGTGTGAACTCAACAGTCATTCAATCAACACGCAAGTTTCAGAAATATATACGAACATCAGAAGTTCACAACTGAAAACTCAGAACATGCATGCATCATGAAGGACTAATCATACCATTGTACAAACATTTTAAAGTATTTTATACCTCAAAGGCTCGAAGAAGAATGATTGGGAATCAGTCTCAAATCTCAAGTCTCAACTACTCACGCTGGGCTAGAAGACTATCAAGGCTTCCACACTTACACTAGGTTGAGGACTACAGCCCTACAGCGATGCCAACGGCGGCCGATGAATTGAGAAGTCAGAGTCTCTCACTCCTCTGAGGCTCTGAGTCGTAGAGAGTGTATGTTAGGGTTAGGGTTAGCCGCTTAGAGAGTTAGAGAATAGAGATAGAGTGTAACTTAGGGTTATGTGGGGAAAGGGATAACCGGATAAGGGTAATATGGCCTTATGGGTTATGGGCTTGGGGGAAATGGGCTTAGGCTAGGTCGGGTTTTCGGGCGGGTCGGGTAGGGATTAGGAGAACCCTACCCGCTGGGTCTCGGGCCAAGCAAATCGGGCTGGCGGGTCGGTTTTAAGGATTCGGGTCGGGTCAACCGACCCATTCTTAAAAATTCGGAGTAATTCGGTCGGGTTTTTCGGGTAGGGTCGGTTTTGCTCAGCCCTACCTAGGAGACACGAAATCATATCATGAAGGGAGAAGAATCTAATTTCTAACGATGGATTTGCAAACTTTATTCTACTCATTTTACTATAAAAATAAATCTAGATCAATTTTATCATCAAACACAACATTGCATATTTATCATCAGATTTAGGCGACATTTTGCTAAAAAAAATAGATTTATATAAAAGTATGAATTATTGGTCTCAATTTCGCCTTAGGTTTATTATCATAATATATAAAAAGGATTTTTTTAGCTCAATAATAGGTTCTCTATTTATGCACACCTAGATAACAATGCCAATTATAAATGTTAAACGGTAAATAATAATCCAAATGCACTCTCAAACTCACAAAACACCAACAAATACATTTCAACTTTCCTCCAATCCCCCCTTACCCACTATCTCTCCCAGGGCACATGAGAACTTTTATGCAACTTTCCTCCGATCCCCCTACCCACTATCTCTCCCAAGGCACATGAGAACTTTTATCCAGTCCTATTAATTGCACTATCACACTATGAAATCGTATAGGTTTAGGTGGCTTCATGATAGTCACACATTTAACTAATGATTTAATACTTTGTGATCTCACTTTAAAAATAAGTGAGTATGATGAAGACACTTAAGTCATATGACTCTATACTGGAGTCAAATATAGCTACATTACATAGCTCTTATCCTTCCTCTCTCACGTTCATTCTCGCCTCACAAACACATTGCGACATGACATTTTTCCACCCATATGGCCACATCGCCCATATCCCTTACTCCCACAGAAATAGAATTAAAGAGATGCTACCATTCTTCTCATATTTGATCCCTTGAAATGATGCTTCCTTCCCTTTCTTCTTACGCCATTTATTCAAACTAATTGTTTTTAATTAGATTGATTTCAATTCTAAAGTGAATAAATTTTAACAAAATGGACTTAGATAATAGCAAAATACACACCAAGCATCTACTATCTGATGCAGACTTAAACAGACAATCAGAAAAATTCCAGTCCAATAAAAACCCCTTTATCATCTTCACACATCTTTTGTTGGGGCATCTAATGTCCATTTATTGAATTTGTTTCAGCCATTGTGATGTATATATTCATAGAGTGTGCTATATTTATACTCAATATCTGAGGGGATCACAAAACTATTACAACTCCATATCTTGTCAGTTACACTGCCCAAGTAACTTGTATGGGGGTTCATTTAACAATAACTTAATAGTCATTGTGATTCAACATCCAAAGAAGCATTGATTACCCGGCCAATAGACACTGTTATGCTTTGTTCTCACTTCCACAACTCCATGAGTGATTAATTTCATAGCTTTCCAATTAGACCCATATCAAGAGATTGCTAAGCATGCCATTTTTGACCTTGATGCATTCTACTCATAGTTATAGGCAACATGGCACAAATTTCACCTCCTTTTGTATATAGTAAGATATTCAATCGGTCACTTATAAGATAGCCGTTTATCCAGCCCCACGTGATGTGGTATGCATGTACGGCCATACAAACGGAGTATATAATTATACTATTATATCAAAATATACTTTAATAAGGAGAAATGTAAAAACTTTTCTTTTGAGTTTGGATTTATACTATTATTATATAAAATTCAAATTTGAAAAAAATTAGTTTATGATGAAATTTTTCAATATTTTACTTCATTTTTATTACACTTTTTTTTGGGAAAAGGAAATTTTTATTGATGGAGTAAACAAATAACAAAGTACAAGGTTCAAAGGCGAAGAAAAAAAAAGAAGAAAAAAAAACAGCCAAAACAACCCAACCCGAAATGAATTGAATTGAATCTACCAAATTCACTGTCATGGAAGAGTATCATATTGTCCTCATTTTAACACATGTAAATGAAAACAAAAGATAAAGTTGCAAGTCCCTTCAATACGTCAACCATGTTTCTGAAAAGCCGCAACTTATATCCTACACCCGGGTGTACATGTACACCCGTTTTTTTGTAATTAGTAGCAAGTTTGAGGGCAATTAATAGGTTGAGTCTATTAATAAGCTTCCTTTTTCCGGTGCTTCTCCGCTCCTCATGCACTCATCTTTCTTTCTTTTTCACACGTTCTCCTTAGTTCTGGTACTTCTTTCTTACGTTCTGCTCCACTCCTCATGCACTGATCTTTCCTTTTTTCATTGCTGCTTCTTAGTTCTTACGTTCTGCTTTCTTTTCTTTGTTTAATCTCCTTTTTTTGTTTTTTTTGTTTGTTCTCATTTTTTTAGCAACCTTCTACTTTAATGTTATATTCAATTATTATTAAAATGTATAATATAAAATATTATTAAATGTTTCAGTTTATTTTTTAGATTCAGTTGATTACATGTTTTCAATACGTTTGTTCAATGTGTACTCATATTTTTGCTCATTTTTCAAATGTCATATTCATGCAAATTTTAAAAGTTGCATATGACATTAGATTCACATTGTTAGGTTCCCAATACTCAACCGAATAAATCTGATGCTCATTGAAAGTGTTTTGATGCTCATAATAGGTCCGATGCACATTAAAAGTCCATTAATGCTCATTTAATAGATATTGTGATTTTCATCTCAATATAGGAGGTTTGATGCTCAATGAAAATGTCCTTATGTCAAGCTAACAAACCTTACGATTTTCATATCAATAAACATTTTGTAAGTTACGTATGCTCATCTGGTAGTGATCTTATGCTCATTTTCTAGATGTCATATCAATACATTTTTTTAAGTACTATTTTACATTAATTCACATATTGAAATTCATAGGAGTTGATTATAATTATAATTTAATAAGATTTTATAAAATAAAAAGAAAAGAAAAGAAAGTGAATTACGGAGTAGAAGTTATGAAGCAGAGATCACGATTATCAATATAGACTCCTAATATTCAACAGAATTGGTATGATACTCATTAAAGGTTCATAATGCTCATTCATTAGAAACCGTGAATTTCATCTCAATAGCGGAGGTTTGATGCTCAATCAAAATGTCGTGATGCTCAACTAACAAACCTTATGATTTTCATATCAATGTGCACTTCGTAAGTTATGTATGCTCATTTGGTACTGATGTTATGTTCATTTTTAAAATGTCATATCAATGCATATTTCAAAAGTATCATATTACATTAGACTCGCATATTGAAATTAATAGGAGTGGATTATAGATATAATTTAATAAGTTTTTATAAAACAAAAAAAAAAGGAAAAAGCAAAAGAATTAGAAGATAGAAACAGAGATCGTGATACTCATTGTAAGTCTCATAATAATCAATACAATAAGTCAGATGCTCACTAAAAGTACAATATTGCTCATTTAGTTGGAGCCGTAATTTTTCGCTAAAATTACAAAAATGTCACCCCAAAAAATTAAGTTGTTTTAATTAAATGGACTATCTTTCTGAATTGGGTCATTTTTGTGAACCTTCGTTGGATTCATAAAATTTTATTGAAATTGGGTTGTTGAAATTGGGCAGAAGCTTAAACAAAATTACAAATAAACCTGGATGTACGGTTCCCACCCATACACCCGAGTCACCGAGTGTATAATATACGAAGTGCTGAAAAGCCTTTGTGAATACATCTAGGATGTTTTCATTTGGATTAAAATTTCATAGTCTGATATAATATCATGTGTATTTTACTATTATTTTGATTTGATCTATTTAAATCTATGTGGTATAAGACTCAAACCAATCCAAATGAAAACATTTGTCAGCCCAAATTCTAAAGTTTCACCTACGGTTGTGTTTGGTTGGAAGGAGAAACAGTGAATGAACATGGCTGAAACCGAGAAACTATAATTGGATCTTTCTCTAACTCCCTTTGACAAATGCCCATCATAAGTTAGAAGTGAGCTCGACCAATTTTGTATCAACCAGACCAGATTCCTACAAGGTTTAGGAATTAGGACCTTGACCATAACTGTGGGCAGAGCAAAGCAGTCCGTTCTTAGAGCCAATGATTCTAGCGCTTGGTTTGACACAACCAAATATTAATGTTTTGATTTGGTTATCGATTGATGGGTTCGGGTGTGCAATTCTATAACAATAAAAACCAGAAGAGAGCCAAATCATATCCCTACTCCACCTGAGAAAAAGTTGGCATTTTGGAGAAAAAATAGTAACATTGGAACTATAATGTCTGAACGGACACGTTCAATAATTCATAATATAGTTGCAATATTACATTGTGTTCCAAAATTGATTGGTAACAAAAGGAGAGAGGAGCCCAAAAACGAAAAAAATTACTCTTCCAAAGAGAGAAATATGGGAGACAATCAATTTACGTTGATTAACTCAACATCAAAAAGAAGCCATGAGTTTGGTGGTATAACCGCACCAGCACCTTTTTCTCCATACCTGCAGTCAGAAAAAAGTCAATAATTTGAGGATTGATAGGGATGGAAAAGGAAAAGTGCACATTGCAGGGATGGATATAAAAAACTAAACCACAAAACAATATTTGTGGGGTGGGGGGAACATCCATGAGCACACATAACACATCATTGAGATTTTTGCTTCGAATATTAATGAATCACATTATCCAGTGGGGGAAGAGGAGGTAAATTACCCCATAGCTGGTGGAATGGTGAGTCTTCTTTTATCCCCAACACGCATGCCTGATATTTAGGTATTAAGTTATATTATATATACACATTAGAAAGGATTGATTGTTTATAACAAACTGAATATGATTAATATTCAATATAGTAGATATGCTTACCCGTTACACCAACATCCCATCCCTTTATAACCTCACCAATACCTGAAATGGAAAGTTGACATACAAAATTAGAGCAACGGAAACAATGATTATGGTTTCATCACAAAAATGGAATGAATACAAAAGAAATACCTAAACGGAATTTAAAGGGTGCTTTGCCGATATTAGAGTCAAAAATTTTGCCATTCTTCTTCAGCTTGCCAATATAGCGGACACTAACCTGTGATAGTAGGCAAAAGTATATGAATGTTGAAAATCAATTGTAGTTCAGCATGCTATTAAATGGATAATAATTATCAAAGGTCAACTATTTTGAAAAAAGAAGCAATTTATAAACAACTACATGCAAACAATTGGGTCTGTTATTCTGTTCTTGGCTTGATGAACGTTCTTTTCCGTCTTGATAAAAGTATAAAACAGCTATTACCCTGCCCTTCAAAGCCCCCCAAACAAACAAGAGGTAAGAAAAAGAAAAGGGTAAGTGAAAGAACACTATAGAATCACCTTCTTTCCAGCTATAGCTCTTTTACCATCCGGTTTACCCATTGATAGCTCCTCTATGACAAGCCCATTAGGATAAGTCCTCACTTTTGAGGGCTTAGCATCAGCTTTCTCCTCTACTTTCATGGACGATTTAATTTCTTTACCAAAGCTCTGCTCTCCATTAATTTCTTGCTTCTTTTTCTTCTTCTTTGTCTCTACCTTACTGGGAAGTCATTCTAATAAAAATTAGTTGTGATGGAGGGAAGTTTGAAGTTATGTAGAAATAATGCTACTGCTTCATGACACTTGAAGGCAACTCCAAAAGCAGTTAGAGATAAACTCTTCATCAATGATAAATACTATGACCTAGGCTATCACGCAAATTTAATAGAACACAAGAAGGGTCATATAACTATTAACTCACACTTCATTAGTTGTCTTCTCATTGGTTTCCTTTTCAGCAGATGAAACTTTCTCTTTATCATTAACACACACTTCATTAGTTGTCATCTCACTGGTTTCCTTTTCAGCAGATGAAACTTTCTCTTTATCATTAACATCAGCATCATTACATTGCACAGCGCTCTCCAAACAAGTATCCTCGCTAGCTGAAATCTTTTTCTTCTTCTTCTTATTCTTTTTCTTTTGCTTAGCACTGTATCCAAGAACAAACATCTTTTACTCATAGAGTTCAATAATTTACAAACAGCCAAACTAATGCAACACCCTGAATTCCTGATATGTAACTTAAATGCAAGAGCTTTCTGATAATAATAGTAATTTTAGATACACGTTGGCGTAGCAATGTTAAATACAAGGCAAAAAAAGAGCAAAATGCCAAATATTCTTAATTAATGCAAAAGTGTGAAAGCATACAAAATACTAGCACTAGAACAGGTACATATTCCAAGACATGCTTAACTGGAAATTGAAAAACTCACTTTTCGGATCCAGTGGTTTGCCCAACAGCATCAATTTTTCTTTTTACGTTCTGGACTCTTTCAGCAGTTTCATGATCAGTCTCTTGTGATATTGGTTTGTTGGGCACTGCTTCAGTGTTGATCCTAATTGAGGCAGCTATCGGAAAGCCATCTTCATCTTCACTTTCAACCGTAGGAACACTGTTATTGCTCTTCACAACTATCTGTTGATCAGTGTTTTCTTGGCTTTCAGGAAAGCGGGTTTTCTTCTTTTTTGGCCCCTGGGATGCATCATTCTCATTAGTGAGATTCTTATCCTCTACGATTTCCTCAATTCTAACTCCACTGTTCGGGACTGGTGAAGATGGGTACATATCGAGATCACTATCTTCAAATCCATCCTCCCCAGAATCATAAAAAGAATCATCTCCACCACTGTCACTTTCAACACAGTCATCCTCATATGCATCACTTTATAAAAATGTTAAGGAAAACACTCATTGAAAGAGTCAAGTAGAGAGAAAGAACATCAAATCTAAGAAAAGGCAAATCCAAATCAAATGAAAAAGAAAGCAAAAGGATACGACCCATATGCCTCTTCATCACAATCTTCACATTCACTCAAAAAGAAACCAGAGAGGTGAACATGGTGATTGCCTTTAACTGAGAAGGTGACCTCATCCTCATCATCAAATTCAATATTCAGAGGGCAAGTCTCAAGTTTTTCAGGCAATAGAGAGCACAAATATATTGGTTTCTTGCCTTCAAGGGAACACTGAACTATGGTCTTTTTATCAGATGAACCAGCACCCAATGTTGCCTGAGTCATTCATATGATTAAAAATTTAAAAATAAAAAGTCAAAATAATTATACCTGACCTAGTTTTGTAGAAATTTTATCCTAACACTTAAAAATGATAAGTTAGCAAACTAGTAGTTATCAATGAAAATGAACTAAAATTTTATAGGGAAAACAGACTTAATTTCAAGACAATATTATACAGCTATGTATAAGATGGATATTAGTATCACTTTTTCAAATCTAAATCTAACCTTAGGCATCAGGTCTGACTTATAAAAGAAACTTCAAATATTTTTAGAACAAAAGGCATTTCAGTCATAAACGAATTAAAACCAAAAGGTCACCCCAATTCAACACTGAAAATGGCCAAAACCAAATATAAAAAACTAAAATGAAAATAAGGTGCATATTTTGACTACACTCACTAATTCCCGGTTTAATGTTCGCATACATTATTCAAGTAGTCAAATTAAATCTCTTTTAATCTCTTATTAATCTCTTTTTCGATTTTGGTAAAGGTTAGATTAAGATTTGAAAAAGTGACGCTAAACTTATAGTACCCTCGTTCCGAATTTGTTTTTTTTAGATTCCATAGAACTTATTGTCTAGTTTTAGATATTAGAATATATAAATTTTAATTACTAATACAAAATTACAAATATATTTAGATATTATAGGGGAAGAGTTAACTTTAAGATTATTCAAACACTGGAGAAACAACTTTGAAATGGGACAAAAGGTGTAGCACATTTGTCTCAAATAGCATCACCATTAACTTCTTCACAAAATAGGACTCATTCATAACTAGTAAAAAGTGAAAGGGTGGGTTCTGTTATTTTATTCTTTTATCAGGATTAAATAAGTCTTGGAAACAACACATTATTAATCTCTCTGTACATATGACTCCTATTTAGAACAATTCCTTAAATCTACAAAATAAATTCAACAGTTGTTAAAGAGACAATAAGTGAAAATTTAAGCTAGTCAAGGAAACCCAATATTTGTAGCCAAACCTGCGAAAGATGGAGTCTTTCCCCATCTCCGGCTAATTCAAGGACGTATGGTTTTCCTGGTTTAAGTTCAATCCCTGGACGAAAGTTTTAGAGGCAAAAAATTCAATTTCTATGATTGCTCTTCAGTTATAGAACCGAAAAGATTTACAGTAACAAAACGAAACTGACCCCAAAACCCCATGGCTGAGCTGCGCCTGGACAAGCTCCAGAATATCGGAAAAATCCTTAAACCCTACCAGTGATCTGCTCCTGCAAAAAAAGAAACCCTAAAGCCTAACACCAAGCAATGACATGTAAGCACCACTTATAGAACTTATTAAATCCTTATTACAAGTCATATGTATACGTTAATTGACATGCTAAATGTTTTTGGCCCACTATAATTCCATTATTTCTTTCTGCCGATGGGCTTTGCAGAAACAACTACTCCGTACAATTATAATATTTTTCCTTTCTACTCCCTCCGTCCCACTAGAAGGTTCCCGTGAACGATTTACGATGTTTGACTGATGATAAAGCAACTGATGGATAGTCTACCCGGGGGTATATATCCGAGGGTTATTGCGGGGAATAACTTAGAGAGAAGTCAGAGCTCAAGTAAGTAAGAGAGAGAGTGTATTCAGTATGAATGTCGTGGTTACAAATGGGGAAATGGGGGGCTATTTATAGTAGCAATAAATGCCGGACAGGGACACGTGTCAAGCATCCGTTGGCCGAGGGGTCACCTCATCCGGTTGGCGCTAGCAAACGCATGTGGCCGCATTTAATGCGGCTGTTGGATGGGACGTCTGTACAGGGTACGGTGATCTGTACGCATGTGAGGCGGATATCATGTCGGGAGAGGTGCCTTCGGCTATAGAGCAGTAGCCGAGGGCTCTTAGTGCCGAGGACCCCTGAGTGACGAGGGCTCCAGGTGCCGAGGGCTGCTGTTTTTGCCGTTTTCTCCCAGTTTCTTAGTTTGCTTGAGAAGCTCGTTCTGTGAGAGTTTAGAGCCTTCGGCCAGGGGGCCGAAGACACCCCTGGCGCGTAGTGCGGGCTGCTTGGTACTCTGGGCGCTGTGATTTGGGCCTGTTGGGCCTTCTGGGCCTGTTGGGCCTTTGCTGGAGTGGTGGGAGTCTGTGGGCCGGGGGTTCCCGGGCCATATACTCCATCAGCAACTTAATCCCTGTTTACACACTTATTATTTTTAGTAAATAAAATTAACATATTCAGAAACTACATTAAAACCGCTACAAAGCGTGATAAAAATGTATATTTGGTAAAACTTTGATTTATAAAGTAAAAAATTAAAAATGATTTAAGTTGACCATGAGAATAGCGGACGGGAACCTTCTAATGGGACGGAGAGAGTATATAACAATTTGTTACCGATTCGTATACCATGCAACCGTGCCACGGTGCGCATGGTATATCATCCCAAATTGCAAGGAAAGAGAAGCTCGTTACGGATAATCTAACTACATTTGGCTTTGTTATTTTTTATTTCTCCATTCTTAAAAATGTTAATATTTTTTTTTATTTTTGATCCGATTTTGTAAAATTTATATCAAAATTTTTTATTTTTCATGATCTTTCAAATGAGACCAATATTGTCTATGTAATTTTAACATATTAACATCTGTGTGTAACAATATGTAACTTTACGTGTTAAAATATGTAACTCACGTTCAGTCAGGCCAAATGCAACTCATGTGTATAGATATGTAACTCTACATGTAAAAATATGTAATTTTATGTAAAAAAATATGTAACTCGCGTTCAGACAGGTCAAATGCAACTTGTGTGTATAAATATGTAACTCGCGTGTAAAAATATGTAACTTTAAGTATAAAAATATGTAACTTGACGTGTAAATATATGTAACTCACGTTCAGGCAGGTCAAATGCAACTCGTGTGTATATATATGTAACTCGCGTGTAGAAATATGTAACTTTACGTGTAAAAATATGTAATTTCACATATAAAAATATGTAACTCACATGTATAAATACCTAATACAATAAAATTTTTATATACACAATTTTAAGATAAATTGTGATTTACACAATTATTTTTCTGTATTAAATTTAGTTCAATTTTTCTTATAATCCAATAATCATTTATATAATAGTTCCATAATTTGTTAAAATTACATAAGCAATATTGGTCTCATTTGATAAATCATGAAAAATAAAAAATTTTGATATAAATTTTATAAAAATCGGATATGAAATAAAAAAGTTATTACAATTTTTAACAATAAAAGGAAAAAAAAATAATGGAACCGGGCCACAATACTCCGTGGTTTTGCAACTGGGCGCACCATGAGGATGGTGCGCCGGTTGCACGATATAATCTGGCATTTGTTACACTTTTCATTTTTGGCAATTTTTTTTAAAACATATTTTCCAATTCTCATCTTACTTTTTTACACTATTTGTTACTTCTACTATTTTCTTTTTAAATAATATGTCAAAGTTTATTGTACTACCTCCGTTCCGATTTTAACTTCCAAATGCGTTTGGCACAAAGTTTAAGATATTGGATATTGTGTGGTGGAGAGTTGTGCAGAGGAGAGAGAAATGTGTAAAAAATGTTGTGAACCACAAATTTTTTACCAAAAAGGGAAAGTGGAAGTTTTAATTGGAACGGACGAAAAAGGAAAGTTGGAAGTTTATTTAGGATAAGAGGGAGTAGTAGTTTTTAAAATACCGAAGGAGTATGTTCTAATCCTTTGAAAGCTAGAGTATCAATTCACATCAATGACTATATTTGACTCAAGTTTTATCTATAACACATACAAAGTTTGCACGGTTTCATTTATCTAATCATTTTATTACGATTTTGTTAGGCTGGTTGCTATGGAGGTGGGCGAATAAATCAATTTTCCCATCATTTTATACGAAAATTTTGTATTCACTTAGTCATTTTTTTCTTGAAATTGAGTACCGTCAATATATTCATCAAGTACATTTTTATTTAAAATCTTACCTTTCATATTATACATCATTTTTTTTTCATTTCTCGTTAACAATTTAAAAGTCAAACATTCCGATGTAAAAATAAATAAATTTGGAATTTAATTTTTTTGTTATTACTACGGACCTATTAAAAAAACAAATAACAAAAAGACATTGAAAAATATTTTAACACTTACGTCTATTTAAAAATATGGACCTAAAAATATCTTGATTTTAACACTTACGTCTATTTAAAAATATGGACCTAAAAACATCTAGCAATTAAAACTTTATAAATGCAATACATGTCATATGAAATATAACAAAAGTTATAAATTTTAATATACTTTTTTTGTAACAATTGGAGTACAAATAAAAAAATATAACACTTTACAAAAAAATAGGGGTTGTTTCCCTAGGTCCTGCAACCATACTTTCTCCTTTCTCTTTGAAACAACCTTCTTTCTCCTTTCTCGGTCCTTCTTCCCTGGGTGAATATGGGTAGCAACAAGACTCAATATACGAGGAAGCCGTCCAACTCATCTTGTCGCCTACTTACTCTCCCATATGGGAGGTCTCGGATTCAAAATTCCATGGAGGGATTTAAGCTCCGTTTACTACGGATCCCCCCAACCCCCTCTCGCTGACGCTCGGGGTAAAAAAATAAGACTCAATATTTACCTTTTTAAGAGAAAAATGAATATATTTCCAATTCAAATATTTTCTATCAAGATTTTTTTTTTCTAGATATGGAATATTTAGCCTTTCCATTTTCCCTCTTAGACTAGTGATAGGAATATTTAGCCTTTCCATTTACAATTCAAATAAGTTGTTTTGTGACATCTTGTAATGATAAGAAATTGCTTCTCAAAGATTTACCACATAAATATACACATATGTCAAAACAATATGGGGCTGAGAGCATAGTATATTGTAATTGCACATTATTTGAGTTATTTTTCTTTCAAATATTCATTTGAATATGTAATCAATTTGCATCAACTGAATACTCTATAAAAGCATCTGAATCACAACAAGCACATTGGCCGTTGGGACATCCGAATATACCCATAGTCCCATACATAGTTGCATCACTTCCTATATCCTACACCCGGGTGTACCGGTGGGAACCGTACATCCGGCTCTTTTTGTAATTTAATTGAAGCTTCTGCCCAATTTTAATAAAGTTTAATGAATTTGATGAAGGCCTAATTAATTAAGAACGACAACCCATTTAATTGATACAGTCTAATTTTTTTTGGTGGCATTTTTGTAAATTGAGCAAAAAATCACGGGTAACGCTAAATGAACAATAATGTACTTTTAGTGAGCATCTGACCTATTTTATTGAGTATTAGGAGGCTAATAATGAGTATCACGATCTTTGCTTCATATCTTCTAATTCTTTTTCTTTTTCTTATTTTTTATTTTATAAAAACTTATTAAATTATATCTATAATCCACTCTTATTAATTTCAATATGCGAGTCTAATGTAATATGATACTTTTGAAATATGACATTGTAAAAATGAGCATAACATGAGTACCAAATGAGCATACATAACTTACAAAGTGCACATTAATATGAAAATTGTTAGGTTTGTTAGATGAACATCATGACATTTTAATTGAGCATCAAACCTTCACTATTGAGATGAAAATCACGACTTCTGGAGAATGAGTAATAATGAACTTTTAATGAGCACCAAACTTATTCTGTTGAGCATCAAACCTCCTCTATTGAGATCAATGAAGATTAATGAATTTTTAATGAGCACTAGACCTATACAAATGAGCATTCGTAACTTACAAGATGATCATTGATATGAAAATGGTATGTTTTGTTTGTTGAACATCAAGATATTTTCGGTGAGCATCGAACCTCCTTTATTGGGTACTAGAGTCATGAAATTGAGTATCGTGGTTTGTGGTCTCGTGTGTATAATCAAATTCTATGAGACTTTTGAAATATGCATGGATAAACAATTTAAAATGAGCATAACAAAGGTACTAAATGGACATACATAACTTACAAAATGAGTTTTCAAAAATTGAAATGTTCATTTGTATATATTTATTCTTGTTAGACGCTATAACTATTTGAGTTAAAAATAAAGAAAAAAAGAAAAAAAGAAGAAAAAGTAAACTAAAAGAAAAACTAAACTTAAGTAAAAGTAACAAAAAAGTAAAATAAAAGAAACGAAAAGAAAAAAGAAAGAAGATAAAAAAAAGTAACGAAAAAATAAAATAAGAAAGACAAAACAAATATAAAATGAACTAGGATGACGGGATGGAGGCTAAAAAATGAAAAAGAATGGCGGCTGAAATAAATAAAAGCAACAGGGAGTGAGGGAGTGAGGTCACGCCATTTAAAAACCGGGTGCACATGTACACCCGGGTGTATAATATAATTTGCGGATAGTTGCATACTTCAAACAACATCCTCATATCATTTAATTCAAACTTGTAGCTAAGTTAAAATGGACCGAATGGTACTTAGACAACCCATGTCCACATTACGTTGGAATTATCTTTCCAAAAATGTCTCTTATGTATGCATTTTAGACATTTTATTAAAGCATTTTAGGATTTATGAAATCTTAATGTATTTAAAAATAAGACATTCTATCATAGAGGTAGATCAAATTGTCTACTGATTGATATATAAGTATTTCAAAGATAAGGGGACGAATGATCAATTGATCATACGATAGAGAGAGATGATTTCCAAAATCTTATATTGCTTTTATATATGGCTACAAGCCTACAATGGTCAATGGGGGAAATTATAGATTACGGAGTTATAAAATGAAAAAACACTTGATGATTTATCCATTTAATAATATTCCATTATTAAATTACACAGGAATCTTCGAGCATTGAAAATTTATACAGTAGTGTGATGATTTGAAAAGTAGTGTTAAGTCTTGTGATTAAATAAGAACCAATACGCCCCTGTCCGTTTCTCAACAAACAAAGCTAAGCAGAAACCCCGACGGCGCGACTACGTGATAACGAAGATCAATGGCGAAAGAGCGACCAGGATGAATGGGTGATCGGCTTGGCGGGTTGGTTCATCGTCTCACTCACCAGCTTAGCATGAGTTCTCTAATTTTCTTCGTTACATGGTTTAAAATTTTAAGGGACATAAGCTCTCAGAGATTCTCGATAGGGGTAAGATCCAACTGGATTGTTCTTCTTTTGTTATGGAGTTTGTTCTGTTTTATGACAATTCTTTCTCGGACGCTGGTGCTCCAGTATGTCTTGTCTCCCTCGATGTGGGGAGTTATTTTGGTGTCATACGCAACTTTGCATGGCTAGAAGTTTGTGTTTGAATTCCTTTGGATTGTGTAGAATGGTAGAAACATACAATTTGTTTTTTTACTCCACTTGTTTCTATATATTTATCTAGAACGAAGTAAGAGAAAAATTTAGCATTCACCCATATCGCTGCAGATCGTGTCAGGAAGATTTTTGTGAAAGACATTTTTGTAATTTTATTTTTCTTTAATAGTACTTGATTTTGTTTTTGTTCGAGTAAGTCTAGTTTAGACTTTAGATATTTGAATTTTTAAAGTACTTTTGATAGACAGCGTTTCACTTTCAGTCATTTTAAGTTTAAAATTGTCTATTTAGCGTCTAGCAAATTAGATTGTTTTGTATTGTTTTGTATGATGTAAGTAGGCGTGGACTCGGGCCGGGTCGGGCCCGAGCCACCCGCCCAGGTCACGGGTCGGGCCGGTTAAAGTTTTTTTTATAATTTATATTTTATAGTTTATAGTTTTGTACAAGTATTAAAAACAAACTTCAAGTGCATTTATTTGAAATGAAATAGGAACTACATTTGAAAATTAAAACAAACTTTAAGAGAAACATTTTGAAAATTGTAATTAATCGGAACTTCCCGCACCTCCCGATCCTTTGGCTTTGTCACATGACTTCATATGCTTCATTGTCATCCCGTATCCGCCTGAAACCTCCATGCTACATTTTTTCCCGCACCATTTGCAAGTTGCGTACCACATCCCGGTCTTCGGGTCCTTCTGCTTATCAAAATTATACCGTATAATGGCATCTTGATTTTCCATCTTAACTTCTTAAGTATAAAGTAGATATATAAATAATAAATTTAATATATTGGAGAATAAGAGAATTAGAGAGTAGAGAGTTAAGAATAGGATTTAGGAAGAATTGGAGAAGAGATATGAAAAAATGTTTAAGATTAGGAGTATTTATAGGTTTTTTTACCCCCCCCCCCCCAATCCCCCCCCACCCCCCGCCCCCCCCACCCCTGCACCCCACCCAACGGCTATATAGCCGTTTGGGTTGTCCCCAGCCCACCCCCCAAGGCCATAACGGCTAGTTTGGGGCCCAATAATTTTTTATTTTTTTAAATTGGACCGTTGGACCCGGACCCGGCCGGGTCAACTTTTTCAGAAACCGTACCCGTCCCGCCCCTCCCCGCCGGTTCAGGTCTACACCCGGTCCCTGACCGTCCGACCGGGCCGATCCCGAGCCCGCACAGTAGCAGGTCAGGCCGGGTCACGAGCCGGGTGGCCCGAACCGAATCCAACACTAGATGTAAGTGATCTTATAGCTATTCCTAAGGCTTACGTGGAATTTGTCATAACTTTCTCGATGTTGTTTTGTATGCTTTCTCGATATTGATATAAAAGCTTGATCTTTTATATTAAAAAAACAAAACATTCTAGGACATGTTATAAATCTCATAATGTCTAAAGTGCATTTATATGAGACTCAAGACATTGATTGTATTTAATCTTATAAGCCCCAATATTCTAGGACATGTTATAAATCTCATAATGTCTAGAGTGCATTTATATGAGACTCAAGACATGGATTGTATTTAATCTTATAAGCCCCAATATAGACATAAGTCCCATATCCCAAATCTCACCCCCTTACATGAGATTTGGAATCAGGTGTCAGGTGCAGCCGAAGGACGCAGTTGACAGTCAGCCCCTCACGTTGAGCAGTAGACAACAAGGCAACGCACTGCACCTGGTAGCTGGTGGTGAATCACAGTGTCACACAAGTGCAGCCGAGGCTGCTAGCTGGTGCAAACTCACCGCTGAAGAAGACTTGGTCGTTGCCTCATCAGTCATGCAGAACCACAAAAGAAGATGATTAGTGCTTTTGAAGTTTGAGATCAAGCAAATTGCAGATTTGGGTGGGGGCAGCTGCATCTTTCATTGTTTAGAAAAAGTTGTCTAAACCACAAACTACAATGTTTCATAGCTGAAATATGAAACACCCATAACAGAAAAAGTTGTCTAAACCACCTTTTTAAAATTATTGGATTATATTATACTCTTCTGAGTTCTGAACTCACTACTGACCAATAAGGCAATACCCATACATTTGCATCGATAAAATTTTAAAAACCCATTCATAGCTAATCCACCAAATTTCAATTCAGGTTCCATTCTGAATCGGTTCGATAAATCCTTATTCATGAATCATGATGAAAGAAGCCACTATGCCCGAGATAGGGAGACTAGGGTTAGTACGACTTCAACACAAATTTGTTGTCAGGCAATTTAAGCATATTGACCAATTAAACCAAGTAGCTTCAATGGTTTATACGATTAAAGATGTAAAAGATCAAATAAAATATTCTACAATAGGGAGTATATCATAGGGCAACTAGAAAGCAACACTTTAATTAATAAGCAGTAGATCACATGAACCTTTAAGATTTCCTGACAAAGATGTTCCACCATATTTCATAAAAAATACAAAACTCATGCATAATGTCTACAGAGGTTGGAGGCAAGAAGGGAAATTCAGAAGAGACCCATAAACTCACAGGATTAGTACAAAGCAAAAAATGCAAGGCTTAGCAAGCCACGAGTGCCCAACACTCAAAGTTGATCTAAGGATCAGCAATTGTGACCTCAACCTCCACACCCGGTTCGATGGTAATTGAGGTGATCTGCTTCACAACTTCTGGTGAACTGAATAGGTCAATGACACGCTTGTGCACCCTAAGCTCAAATCTGTCCCATGTGTTGGTCCCTGTAGACCAAACCAACATTGGAGGGAAAGTTATCATCTCCATTAGAATCAGAAATTATTTGCAATTTCAGGAAAATTTGGTTAAAATGACTTATCAACCATTTCCAAACTGCCTCTGATTAATATTGCAAGTCACAGCTGATGACATCACACAAGCAAGCAAAAAATAGTAGGATAATATCCTTCAATTATTTTACAAAATGGGGATTTTGCCTTGAATATTACTGAAATATAATTTACGGAAAAAATATTACTCCGCACTATAGTGACTATGTAGAGTAACTATAGTGCATATTTGAGCACAACCATGACCACTCTACTTACTATGGTCATCACTAAGTCACATCTTGGCCACTCTTTATTTCAGTCATATATTTGTCATAATCTCAAAGAGTAATATACTCCTTATTGAATATTGCTGATTCTTAAACCATTTTGCAATTGTTAATGATTTAATATGAAAACAATTAAATAAGAGTGAATAGAAGAAGTATAATGCCCAGATTAATCTGTTTTGCAATTGTGCATCATTTAATTTCCAAAAGACTAAATAGGGTCAATTGAAGATGAAGAATCCCAAATACATCAAGGCCTAAACAGCAAATTATTGCAATAGCTCAAACATATAATCTTATCTCTATAATTTAAAAATTTATATAACCAACAATGAAAAACAAATACCTTCTCCACATGGAGACTTTCTAGTGGTGATAAGGAGAACCTTGGTGGGAATCCTGACTGGACCCTTAACTCTAAGCCTTTTGTCCTTGGCCCCACGAACCAAGTCAGAACAAACTTGAGAAAAAATCAAAGCAACTGTGTGTTAGTATTCCAATAGTACAATGAATTAAGTGATAAGGTACAGAAATAGGAGATATGAGATCTCAATGCAATGGAAAGTGCAAACTTTGACCATTAAACATTGTGAAAGGTTCCCTCCGTCAACCAAGAAACTTTCAAGCATAAAATCAGGACTTGTTAGTTACTCCCTCCATCCCATTCAAAGGTTCCCACTTTCCTTTTTTGGTTGGTCCCATATAAAGGTTCTCATTTTCATTTTAAGAAACAATTAACAATCTTAAATGACAAATTAATCATTAAATATAAAAATAATATATTTATAACATCACAGTTATCAACACTAACCCCATTATATTGTATGCCTATTAAAACTATTTCCCAAAATATACGTGAACTACCTTATTTAATTGTTGTCTAAATAACCGTGCCGTTTTGCCACGGGAACCTTTAAACGGGACAGAGGTAGTACTATTTATTTTCTTCTTTCAGTTTCATGTTTTAAACTTAAAACTAAAATTCTGAAAACCATAAAAAAGTTTGCACCTTTTTGTTTGCTGTTTCCAAAATTAGCACGAGTTGTGTAAGTTTGATTTTTAGCTCATGATACAAACTATATAATTTACAATAGTAATTAAGTATACCAAAAAAACTGACGGTGATACCGAATGCACCAACAGAGAACAGAGAAAAACTTCTGATGACAATGTATGAGAAAAGGGCAAAACATTTTAAACCTAACAGCAATGGGCGTAAAAAGGTATACAAAATGGATTTTGGAGTTGTAACAGAACAAATAAAAGAGATCAAGGAAGATTGACAAAAGGTAAGGTGTCAACCTTTCCTACACCTCACTTGTATTGATTATTTCTTGTACAACTTCAGATGCATAAAACAAGGCGCAATCAAAATTTATTTTAAAGAAATAATACGAATGAATCTGTGTGGGTTAATGGTTGTACGTTTAAGACACATTGAGTGTAAAATGCACACCTTTCTCAAGGTTTTTCACATTTTTTGATGACAGAGTGATTCTGATTTTGTGCTCTTGCTCCTGTGGCTCTTCCAGCCCAGGCTTTGTTGTCTTAACCGCCTTATAAGCCATAACTAGAGACTGTTTACTTCTGAATATAGGATTAAGATCCCTGTCATCACAAATAGAAAAGAATCCCGTGTTACAGTTTGATAAATAATCATATGTACATGGTTCAAATGTTTATTATTATTACGACTTGGATTAAACCGGAACTGTATACAAGCATAGACACAGTATGATTAATATACTACTTTCTCCATCCCAGCTTAAGGTTCCCCTTTCTTTCTTTGGATATCCCAACTAAAGGTTTTCATTCCTATTTTAGGGGATAATTAGAACTCTTAAATGACAATTTAATAATCAATATTAAAAATAAAACATCACATTTATCATCAATATCAACACTTATCATCCATCACTTCATTATATTATATACCTATCAAAAATGCCTCTCAAAATATAGTTACATTACCTTGTATAATTATTGTCTAAATAATCGTGTCATTTCAGCATGGGACCTCATTATATTATATACCCATACAAACATGGACACATTATGATTTATATACTATCTATTATATCTGCTATATAACTAAAACATATCATATATCAATTTTTATTTGTTACAGCCGATATGCTACACAGTTGAAATATACTCTTGGGTAAATACACAAATAGCTATATGGAGTAGGTATAAATTGTTAAGCCTATCTGTAAAGGATTTATGCTCCGAATTGTTTTCTTCTTTTTTATCTAATTTAGAACATAAGTTCATTTCAATCTTATAATAACCAGATTAATGAGACTTAAAAAAAGATCAAATTTTTGGCAGAGAAAATTATGAACGGTAAAAAACTAATTTTAAAACTGGTAATACTAACAAAAATTCAGATTTGCAATTTTTTCCTACAGAGCTACAAGTCTGTTAATTAATAAACGCATCCGTAAATTGAGCTTCATATCTGTATAGTTAGAAACAAGACTTACTTTGTGCTATATATTGAAATCGAAGCAATGAAGAATGGTGATTTGATCTTGGAAAACGCAATACCTGGGACTGGATGTGGAAGCACGGTGAGCTCTAGAAATGGCAGAGGCCGTTCGAGTGCGGAAGGGAGGATTATATACCCTTAAAATGATGATGATCTAGGGTGCGGTAATGGGCTTGAGGCAAATTTTAACTTAAATGTTCAGATAGCCCGTTAAACAACACTGGCCCGAGTTTGTTCCAAGAGTCGGTAAATAACTTTTAACTTCAGTATTTTGTTTTAACTTCAGTTATTATTAATAGGAAAAAATAAAAATAAAAAAACTTAAATATTACTGGTTGATTTTTAATAATATCAAATATTGCCTTTTTTGCAAGGAAAAGATTTAATTATATTAATTAAGTCAGTGTCAAGCACAGATACAACAAAATGAGGTGGAATATAAAACCAAGATCACATATCAGACATATAACAAGCGGCTCTAGCTAGAGCGTGGGCCGACTTGTTCGCTGATCGCATAACATGACAAAAAGAAATGCTCGAAAAATGATTCGCCGAATCTCGTATGTCGTCACCCAATAAACCAATAGAAGAGCAACTGGATCCATGTAAAATCTCTGAAATAGCTTGGGCCGCATCAGTCTCGATCTTCATCTCAGATCATCCGTTTTGCTTTACCCAGCTAAGAGCCACCCGGATCCCAATAAGTTCAGCATTCAACGGTGACAATCTGCGAAGCCACCCCCGCAATGAAGCTGCCTGTGTCATCTCTAACGCACCAGCCAAGTCCACGTGAGTTTGGCCTAACCGATGCGTCGACGTTGAGTTTCAGCTTTCCAGGTGCCGCCCTGCACCACGAAGTAGCTGAAGAAGACTCTCGCTGCACCTTGTTCATTCTTGCTGCCTATGCACTGAACCAACCATCAACAAAAGCCCATGTTCGATGAATGAATTGATGTGTTGTTGACTTAGCTCCCTTCCAAACTCGATAGATCCACTCACTCCATATAGCCCAACAGCCGCAAATCAATTTCTCCAGGGCTGACTTCCTCCTGGTTCGAAACTCCAAATTCACTTACTCGAGAAAAGGAAGGTCTGGCCCATTCGTCCATTGCCATGACAAGACTGCCCAGGCCTCACAAGCCACTGGACAGCGACGAAAAACATGCTTCGTAGTCTCTTGAGCTTCTCCACATAAACCACAAACTCTCGGACAGACTACCCGACGTACCTGCAAATTTTCTCTCGTCGGAAGAGACCCGCTGCAAACCTGCCAAAAAAACACTTTGATTTTAAGAGGAAGTTTACACGACCACGTAGTCGTCCAATTAAGCCCCTCCGAACTGTCCATCTCGCCCACCAATCGCCTATAACAACTCTTGACCGAAAATTGGCCGCTTCCCTCCCACCTCCAACATAGAGAATCGGGGATATGTCTTCGACTAAGAGGCACACCTTTAATTAAAAAGCATCCCTCTCTTCAAAAATGTCATTGATTATATCATGATCCCACTCTTTTTGGTTTGTAGCAAAAAGATTAGCTGCCACCGCTTGCTGCAAACCTTCAATCACCCCTATCATAACTTTCGGATTTTCCTTATCTGGTAACCACGGCTCTTCCCATATATTAATAGAATGTCCACTGCCAACTCTCCAATAATAACCTTCCCGGATAAGATCTTGTGTCTGAATTAAACTCCGTCAGATAAAAGACGGGATATTTCCAGGACTAACTTTTAAAAAAGTGCTCTTTGCGTAGTACCTAGCCTTACAAACCCTTCCCACCAAAGAATCGAGATTAGTAAAAATCCTCAGAGCTTGCTTTGAGAGCATGGCTAAATTAAATTCTCGAAGCCTTTTAAACCCCATACCCCCGACTGATTTCTGCTTGCAAAGGAAGTTCCAATTTTTCCACCGAAATCCTTTCCCCGATTTCCCTTTCCACCAATAACCGTTCATGATTGTTTCAATCTCCCGGCACAATTCCAAAGGGAGTAGAAATACATTCATGGAGTAGGTCAGCATAGTCTGAATCACAGCCTTCAAAAGAACTTCCCTACCCGCCTTAGATAAGAAATTATTATTCCAATTATTAATTCGATTAATCACCCGTTGATGAATATAGCCCAAAACCTCTTTCTTACTTCTTCCCACTAAAGCCGGCAAACCCAAATATTTTTCATCCTCCCCGCCAGTCCCACTCCAAGCAGCTCAACAAGCCCTTCTCGGTGACTATCAGACGCATTAGCACTAAAAAATACTTTTGATTTGTTAAAATTAATTACCTGGCCCGAGGTCCGCTCATAGTCAGATAGTGACTCCTTAATTAAAGAAGCTTCATCATTTATGGCTCTGAAAAATAGAAGACTGTCATCTGCAAAAAAAGCAAATAAGATATCATAGGTGCCCCTCGGGCAATGGACACGCCACGTAGCCGACTCATAGATTCATATCTTCGTAAAAGGGCAATAAGCCCTTCTGCGACAATTAAAAAAAGATAAGGAGACAGAGGGTCTCCCTGTCGCAAACCCCTCTCAAGCACTGATAGGGCTATCTCGGGATCATCAAAAGGAATAGAATATGTAACCGAAGTAACACACTCCATGATCAGTCGAATCCACCTCTCATTAAAACCCAAATTCCTCATCATACCCTCTAAAAAGGCCATTCAACTCTATCGTAGGCCTTGCTCATGTCTAGCTTTAGCCCCACAAATCCCGTACGCCCTTGCCGTTTACATTTTAAAATATGATGGGACTCAAAAGCTACCATGATATTATCCACAATATATCTGCCAAGGATAAAAGCATTCAGTTGTTCTGATATACAAAATTGAAGCAAATTCTTCATACGATTGGCAAACAATTTGAATTTTTTTTTATAAATAATGTTACAGAGTGCAATGGGTCGCCAATCCCCCAGGGCTTCAGGTTTCTCTTTTTTGGGAATCAACACAATATTAGTATGATTTATTTTTTCTGGAAGCTTACCTGATTCAAAGGCTTCGCTGCAGCACCCACCACATCCCAAAAATGCTGATAGAAGCTCGCACTCATCCCATCCAGTCCAGGAGACTTATTGGGAAACATATCAAATAAAGCATCATAGACCTCCTCTCTGTGAATTGGGCGAAGGGGCGTGAGATTGTGTTGATCCTCTAATCTGCGCCGAACATAGCCAAATATGATAGTGTTGAAGATCATTTTATTGTGAATCAAGCTTGTCATATGTCTTGTAATAGATTAGCTTTATTATATCCTTTGTTATTAATGTTTGTATTTATTAGGGTATAAAAAATATGGGGCCAATGTGTCATGCCCATATCAGGCTGAAAGCCTTTACGCAAACCTTATACCTGCGCATATAAAAAGGCGCTTTAGGTTTAGGTTTGCCTTAACTTTCGCACTCGATCAAAATAGTCTCAGAGCATATCATTCTCTGTACGAGTTCACGGTTTATCAAAGAAGGGTTTCATCTCGTTCATCTTTCTGCTGTTTAGCTTCTTGATAGATCGTTTAATATTGTTGTTATAGAAAACAGGGACTAACAAATGGTATCAGAGCCGATCGAGAGCTGATCAGAAGAACGACCTGCAAAATACTCTGCCTTTATTTTGTTTATCTGTTGCTAGCGAGTTTATCATCTGTAATCTTGTTTTTGCGTTAAAAGTTGTAAAAGTTATACTGTTAGAATCGCATCTCAGAGACGATCAAGCAGTATATCTTCTTTCTGCATTTCCGCAGGTTTTGTCTCTCTGCAAACTCGCAAGCAGGAACTCGCAATCCATTTTTCACAAAGCTCCGTTCAGCTTTCTGACCAGAAACTTGGGCAGCAGGAACTCAACATAAAGGGCTACAAAACTATCTGTTTTCTCTGGAAAAAAATCTGAAATTTTCTTTTGACAGGAACTCGCAACTCAGGGTGTTGAACGCCTAAACTCGCAACTGCAAACTCGAGTTTAGAACTCGCAACCTTAACTCTTGAGTTAAGAACTCGAGACGCAAAACCTGCAACTGTAAACTCGCACTATCAAAACTCGCAAGTTCAACCTCAAGTTTTGACACTGCGAGTTTTACATTTCATCTTGTGAAAACTCGAAACTCTTATCTCGAGTTTATAACTCGAGTTCTCACCTCGAGTTTTAGACTTCGAGTTTAGCTCTTCAACACTCAGGATCTCGAGGTTCTGTCTTTGAAACTTTTTTCTGATAAAAATCTCGAACGATCAGTTTTCTACAGCAATGGCTACGGACTCTAATGCACAAGGAAACAACAGCACTCCTCCTGTTCTAAGGAGAGGAGAATATCAGATGTGGAGAAAACGTTTCTTAAACTTTCTTGAACACAAGGACAATTCCGATGCAATGCTTGAATCACTCCTTGATGGACCCGCTCAACTAATGATTTCAGTTGGAGGAGATGCAGAGAATAACCCACCAATCATTCCTGAACAGAGAAGGAAAGTACCATCAGAATATACTGAAGCAGACAAGTTAAGGCTGAGAGGTGACCTCATGGCAAAAACATATCTGCTCCAAGCCATCCCAAATGAAGTCTATGTGTTAATCGACAGCATGCAAACTGCAAAGGAGATGTGGGACGAAATTGAAAAGTTGCTCCAAGGCACCAGCATCAGTTTGAAGACCAAGAAAGCAACCACACTCATTGCTTATGATTCTTTCAAAGCTGCTCCTGGAGAACCACTGAACGAGACATACAACATATTTGTCCAATTGATCAATGAACTGAGGAAAATCAAAGTGTTCAAGTCCAATATGGAATTGAACATAAGATTTATGTCCAGCCTGCACCCTGAATGGAGAAAGACCGTAAAGGATGTGAGGCAACACATTGACCTTGATGAAATTGATCTCTGCACCCTTCATGAACACTTGAAGCATCTTGCCAATGACGGTGCTTGCTCTGAGGATCAGTCCAGCTCAAACCCATTGGCTCTAATGATGGAAGCACAGCCTCGACGGACAACCAAACCACTGAAAAAGAAGAAGAAAGTGGTGGTTGAGTCAGAAGATGAAGAAAGTGATGAAGAAGAGCCTGACCTCGAGGCTGAACTTGCTGACCTTCAGAAGAAGATGGCATTATTGACCAGGAAATTTGCGAAGAAGAATGGATCCTCAAACAAACTAAGAACCTACTCCACAAACTACAAAAAGAAACATCATGATCAAAGCTCTTCTGGGAGGGCACC